CAAATTGAAATAACAAGCTAATAATAGAAATAACTATCATCTTCATAACTAGGCATGTAACAATACCCTTATAAAAAAATCCTTGTCCTCAAGGATTAAAAGCTAGAAATTTCTGTTGTAGGTTATAAAGGACCTCCCATGTTGTGTCTTCTGGAAATGAATTAGCCCACTACACCAATACTTCTGTCACTGACCTATTTCAATTTTTTTCCCATCCTTCTGTCGATGGTCAAGTGAGGCCTCTTGCTGATAGTAGCATCATCTGTAATCAAGGGCATTGGTGATTGTGAGGAAACAACTCTCACGTGTTTTTTAGGTTGGGATGCATAGAATGTTGTATGAACTCTCGAACCAGGAGGTAATTATAGCCCGTAAGTCACTTTCCCAATCTTTTCAACAATTTGGAAAGACCCAAAATACTTCGCAAACAATATAAGGCAGCTTCTGTTAATAATAGACCTTAGCCTATATACTTGTAGCTTCACATAAACCCACTCTCTTGGTTCAAATTCTCTATTCGTCCTTTTTTTGTCTGTTTAAATTTTCATTATCACCTAGTCTCTTCAAAGATAGAACTTGAGCATGTTAATAATTGCTTCTCTAGCTTGAAAGCTCTTATCGATAGTCCCAACAATATAATCTCCACCAAATAAGGCAGATGCACAAAAGCTAGTTACTCGTAAACAACCTCACATGGGGTAGTATGAATAGCAAAGTGGCAATTTTTATTGTACCGCCGTTCTGCTAAAGACAACCACTTGGTCCAGTCTCTCAAATTTTCACTTGTCATACAACTTAAATAAGACTCTAAACATCTGCTAACTATCTTCGTTTATCCATCAATTTACGGATGGTAAGCAGGAGTAAGATTAAGGGATGTACTATGTCTTTCGAACAGTTTTTGCCAAAAATGACTCATGACTATCTTATCTCTATCTGAGACAATGCTGCTAGGTATACTATAAAGCTTGTGGACTTGGTTCATAAAGACTTGAGCTACAAACAAGGAAGTAAATAGATGTGATAGAGCAATAAAATGACTTACTTGCTCAACCTGTCCACTACAACTAATATGACATCTTTATCATAGGATCTAGGCAATCCTTCTATAAAGTTTTTAAAGTTACCACTCTAAACTTTTTCTAGAATTAAAAGCGGCTGAAGCAATCCTGTGCTAGCAGAAGTGTCATATTTATGCTATTGGCAGATTATGCATTCTCTAACATACCTCGTTACCTCTTTTTTAAGCATTTCCCAATAGAAAACACTGATGATTTTCCCCATCGTAGCCTACACTCTTAAGTGTCCACCAGTTGTAGAATTATGGAAGTAATGAATCAATTCCCCTCTAAGCTTGTGATCATTTCCCACCACCAGCTTGCCCTTCCTTTTGAGTAAGGCCCCATGTAATGTGTATTTGGATTTAGCACTGTTAGAACTCGATAATTCTGAAATGATGCTTTGCACTTGTATGTCCTGCTCTCAGGACTACTTGATTTTGTCTATTAAATCAGTACTTAGGATGGTTATAGCCATCAACTTCAGTTCTGATTCCTTTGACTTCTTGGAAAGTAAATCAGCTACTGTATTAAAAGCTCCCTTTGTATAGCTTATTTTTATTTTTAAAAAATTTTAGAGAGAAAACAAACAGAATGAAAAGCATGAACGGGATCAGTTTGTGGAGTGAAGGGGTAGAATTTGGTCCCTTTCGACAATCTAGCGTCACTAAAGGCAAAAATGCATTTCACGATGCCGAATTAGCGCTATAAGAGGTCAAGTCTAACCCATCACACTACGAATTAGGGTGGTTTAGTGAAAGGTCATTTGTAACTTAGAGTGCATTAACATACAAGAAATCATGAGAATTAAACCTTCTAGCCACTTGCTAATATATAATTCATATATATAATCCCTCCAAGGTTTTCTCAACATGCTCATAATTGTCCATCTGTACAGTTTACAAGAAATTTGATGTTTCGGCTGACATTTTATTTATTTATTTAGGATATGATTTACATTTTTAGCAATGAAACAAAATTGAGAACATCTAGTAAGGTGAAAAAAAAAAAAGGTTGATGAGATTAATCTTAATTTATATTATAAAATTTTCAAGCAGCTAGCTGTGCTTTGCTTGGTTTGCTTAACGGGAAAATTTTCAACGACATTTGGTACTGCTTTGTAAAAAATATGGCATTTAAGGCAAGATTTGACTTGAGACCCAACATTATTTTGTGCTGATTTGGCAAAAAATATGGCATTGAAGGCAAGATTTGACTTGAGACCCAACATTATTTGGTACTGATTTGTTAAAAAAAATGGCATTTTAGGCAAGATTTGACGCTGGAAACCTTGAGGCTTAAGCATGATGAGAAATGTTAGCGTAACATATGTAAGGAAAGTTTCAAACATCCAAGATGACTTTTTTTCAAGTCTACGGCAGCGAATGCGGTAAGCTTTTGTTATCATCTATCATTGCGCTTTGCCACATTTTACAAAATAACACCAGCTATCGCGATGCATGAAATATTTATATGAGTGTTTAGCACATCCACTGGAAGAAACATATCCAAGTAAAATATGAAGACTTCAGGTTTTCATATGCTCAACAGTGCTACTAGTATTTCAGTTGTTTTGGTATTAGTTTCTTGGGCCAGTTGTGATTCAGTTCAAAGCAGCTTTCTTCAATGTCTGCCATACCATTCTGAGCCTTCAAACCCAATTTTGGATGCTATTTATACGCCCTCGAATTCTTCATTTTTAACTGCTTTGCAAGCATATGCTAAAAACCTTAGATTTTTAACACAAGCGACACCTAAGCCGCTAGCTATTATAACTGCCATGCATGAATCTCACGTCCAAGCAACTGTTATTTGTGCCAAACGCCAAGGACTGCAAATCAGAATCCGAAGTGGTGGCCATGATTATGAGGGCCTATCTTACGTTTCAATGGTTCCTTTCGTTGTACTTGACATGTTCAATCTCCGCTTAGTGACTATAGATGTTTCTAACGAGACTGCATGGGTTCAAGCTGGAGCAACCATTGGCGAACTTTACTACAGAATCGCAGAGAAAACTGATTCCTATGGATTTCCGGCCGGAGTTTATCCTACTCTTGGAGTTGGCGGACACTTTTGTGGAGGTGGCTATGGAAACCTGGTGAGAAAATACGCCCTCGCAGTGGATAATATCATTGATGCGCGATTGGTTGACGTCAATGGTACAATCCTCAACAGAGAAGCCATGGGCGAGGATTTATTTTGGGCCATTAGAGGAGGTGGAGCAAGTTTTGGGGTAATTCTTTCATGGAAGATCAAACTGGTTCCGGTTCCTACCAAAGTTACAGTGTTCAATGTAGCAAGAACCTTAAAACAGGGCGCAACAGATATTGTTTATCAGTGGCAACAAGTTGCCCATAAGTTACACGAAGACCTTTTCATAAGAGTGATGCTACAAGTCGTTAATGGAAGTCACGGAGAGGAGAAGACAATTCAAGTTTCTTTTATTGGCCTCTTCCTCGGACAAACAAGCAGACTTATTGAACTAATAGGCGATAACTTTTCCAGAATGTGGCTACAGGGAAAAGACTGCATAGAGATGAGTTGGATCGAATCCACTGTTTTCTATGCAGGCTTTCCTAATGGAACTTCTATAGACGTGCTGCTCCGCAGGCCCCAGAATGATCTAACGTTTTTCAAAAGCAAATCTGACTACGTGAAAGAAGCCATTTCTAGAAGCAGTTTAGAATCCATATGGAAGATGATGATTGAATCAGAAAGAATTTTCATGTTGTGGAATCCATATGGAGGAAGGATGGATTGGGATTTCGGAGTCGGAAACTCCCTTCCCGCATAGAGTTGGAAACCTTTTCAAAATCTGGTATAATGTGAATTGGAATGAAGATAGTGCTGAGACTACCGAGCAGTACATAAATTTGATGAGAAATTTTTACAGGGGAATGACTCCATATGTCTCCAAGTCTCCGAGGGAGGCATACGTCAACTACAGGGATCTTGACATTGGCAGCAATCCAAGTAACAACACAGACTTTGCAAATGCTATGGTTTATGGGAGGAAATATTACAAGACTAATTTTGATAGACTGGTGCATGTGAAAACCATGGTTGATCCTCATAACTTCTTCAAAAATGAACAAAGTATACCGGTACTTCATCCTTGTACTAGGAAAGGAGAAGAAGATCAAACAATAGGTGGCGGTCGGTTGACAAATAAAGGCTATATTACAATGTATAATCGATTTCTTATTATGTTATGTATACTAATATATATATTGGTAGTTTTCGGAGACCCATTGTGTGGGTGAAAGAGCAAAAAGGTCAATGGAAGATGAAAAGAAGTCATGTAAAATAAAAGAAAAAGAAACAATCTTCCAATTACTAAAGTATTAAAATCTTAAGTGAAAAATATTAAAATATGAATTCATATTTTACTTTTATATTCTAAGAACTTAAAGTGAAAAATATTAAAATCTTTATGCGTTGTAGAATTTTAAAATGTGTACATTAAAAGAGCACGTGAAATGTGTATATCAATTGAGTATACATAGCATTTAAAAAAAAAAAAAAAGCTTTTATAAGTATGTGAAACTTGAAAAATTAAAATAAAATTGATTTAAATTATATAATTATTTCAATTACATAAAGTATTATAGTAGTGTATAATAGGTGGTTGTTGACAGCATTCTATGCACAAAATTCGAATTAGAATATAAGATAAAAAGTTTGAGTAAGTAATAATTTTAATTTATAAAAAATATAAAGTACTTGCTCTATAGAGTTTCCAAATCTATCATCAAATGCATAGGATAGTATCAATTTGCTAGAATCTAATAGAATTTTTTTTAGGAAATTACAAATAATAAAGAAATTATAATCATAATAAATATTCCATTCATATAAAAATTTACTGAATTAAATCATACAAATTATGTTGGATTAAACTCACATATAATGATATTTGAATCTGAGAGATAAAGTGTGGACTTAATTTTGAGATGGAAATGGTGGAATACTTTGTTCATTTTTGAAGAAATTATGAGGGTCAACCATGGCCTTCACTCGTGTCAATCTCAGGAAATTGCCCTTGAAATACTTTGCTCCATAAACTTCTGCAACTTCAAAATCTGTACAATTGCTGCCATTGCTGCCGATGTCAAGATCTCTGTAGTTGAGGAATGCCTCCCTTGGGCTGCTGGAGACATATGGAGCCATTGCAGCATGCAAACGTCTTGACCACTTAACGTAGTGTTTTGTAGCCTGGATGCTACCTTTGGTCCAGTACACTCCATACTCAATTTTGTAAAGGTTTCCAGCTCTATGTGGAAATGGCGTTTCGGATTCTGATATCTCAGCCATTCTTCCACCATAAGGGCTCATTTCAAGGAAATTCCTATCGGCAGTTTTCATCATCCATTTCCATAAGGTTTCTAATCCCGTCTTAGGTATCGTGTGTTTGACGTAATCTGACTTGACTTTGTAGAAGAATTTGTTCTGGGTTCTATTGAGCAAGACCTCAGGGGGTGTTCCATTTTTGTAACCGGCCCAAAAAACTGTAGATTGAATCCAACTCATTTCCATGCAGTCGCTTTGCTTCAATCCCAATTCAGGAAAGCTCGCATTCATCACTTGGAAAAGTTTTTGGTTTTGTCCAAGAAACTGGCCTATGAAAGCAACTTGGACCGTCATGTTGCCGCTTGTAGTTACCCCAACAGGCGTGGCTCTGATAAAGAGATCTGTGGGTAGTTTATGGGCAACTTGCTGCCACTCGTAAAAAATATCTGTTGCCCCTTGTTCCAAAGTCATTGCCACTTGGAAAACAGTAACTTTAGTAGGAACACGAACCAGTATGATTTTCCATGAAAGGATGACCCCAAAACTAGCCCCACCACCTCCATTAATGGCCCAAAACACATCTTCTCCCATAGATTCTCTGTTCAGGATCCTGCCATTGACATCAATCAATTGTACATCGATGACGTTATCGATGGTGAGGCCATATTTTCTCATCAAGGGCCCATAGCCACCTCCACTAACGTGCCCACCAACGCCAACAGTAGGACACACTCCAGCGGGGAAGCCATGGACTTGACTTCTCTCTGCAATCCGATAATAGAGCTCGCCGATGGTCGCCCCTGTCTGAACCCATGCCGTCTCACTTTTCAAATCAATCTGGATAGACCGAAGATTAAACAGATCAAGTATGATAAATGGAACATAAGACACATATGAAAGGCCCTCATGATCATGGCCACCACTTCGAGTTCTTATTTGAAATCCGTAATGTTTTGCACAAATAATGGTAGCCTGGATATGGGATTCATCAAGGGCTGCTATAATGGCCATTGGTTTCGGAGTTGAAGCAGTTAAAAATCTAAGGTTGTTTGCACTTGACTCCAAGACAGATTGAAAGGAGGAATTATTCAGAGTGTATATGGCATCAGTTATTGGTTTAGAAGCATTGGAATGTTTCGGAAGGCATTGCAGAAAATTATCCAGGGCTGAATCTGATGTTACCAATGAAATTGAGATCAAGAGGATGTAAACTATTGTGAATATAATCGACTTTGAAGCTTTCATTTCTGTGTTGGTGATAAATTGTTGTCTTATTTTGTTGTAACTTCTAATGTCTTGTTGGTTTCAACTATATACTTCTTGATGATCACATTGTCCAAAGAATAAGTCAAGGTTGAATTGTGAAATTACTGTGAATATTCTAAATAAAGAGAATATGTACTAGGAAAATGCTTAAAAATTTCATGTCTATTTCATGGGAGTGATCCTGTTGGTTTTAAGCTTTTTGGTAAACTAAACTGTCATCCCTGACGTAACAACTTTGTTAAAAATCATATTTACTTTATAAAACTCGTGGATGGCACGTAAGCGATCAACTTCTAAGTATTTTTATCATGCCCACTGCAATAAATTAATTAGGTCAAGAAAAAAATGACTTCTCCTTTCTTTTATAATGTCAATTTGAGTGGGAAATTTTGTAAATCAAGTGCTATCTAATAAATTTTAACATCTGATGATGAAACTTCATAGAAAATTTATTGAAAAACTTTATAGAGAGTTAAGTTAGACGCAGTTATTTAGTTTGTGAAAAGGAAAGAACATATAAGATTCTTTAGTCAAACTCTTATAATACTTGTTAAAATGATTAAATAAAAAATTATTTTGAAAATCAAAAGTTAATGCTATTTTTTAATGGTCAAAACATCTATTTAAATTTTCTAAAAATATATTATAGTTTGTTGTCTAGTTACATCTAGTTTTTTAATTAATTATTTAGTGATTGTAACTTAATTATAATGTATTAATTGATTATTCAATGGATTAAATGAATATAATATTTAATTATAATTATAATTTAAAAAAAATTATTTCAACATTTTTAATAAAAAAAAATCACCAACTTAACTTAAGAAACAATACCTAAAGTATTGATTTGTAAAAAACCTAAGCTATGAAGGAAAAGGTTTAATTACCATAAATAATCCAAGTTTGAGCAATATAACAACAATAAATAACCCAAGCTTTAATTGTGATTATAAAAATCTAGAGCTGATAGTGTAAAGTGTATTTGCAGTCCCAAAGTTTTCATTTAGGTTTCATTTTGATTTTAATCTTTAAATTATTCTATGATAGTCTCAAATCTTTCATTTGAGTTTCATTTTGATTCTTAATTTTTAAATTATTCCATGATAATCTCTAACTTTTTAAAAAAATATCAATATGGTTCTTGATCAAAATTTGTATCAAAATAAGAGAAAATTACAACTTAAAATAATATATCCATAATTATTACTTTTATTTTTGGCCAAAATAGAATTATTATTCTTTACTAACATACTAAAATATATTTATTATAAAATAAATAAAACTTTAACAATTTTAAGAATGAAACGAAATTATCATTTTTTACGTTGATTTTAAAAATTCAATATAAAAATAAAGACAAAAATGATACTTTGTTTTTCTTGGAATAATTATAAAATTTTATTTCATTTCTAATAAATGCATGTATGATAGCTAAGTGTAACAATTCTGGATGCATTATCTTGATTTTATCATCTTTCTTTATTTTATTTTATTAAATATTATTTCTCTAATATTTATAAATTTTGTTAAAAAATAAAATAAGTAATATTAAAAAGAAAAAGAGAAATTATTTTTAACAAAAAGGAAAAAAAATGAGACATAGAAGGAAGATTAGGAAACAAAATAAAGACTGGGAACAATTCAGCTTTTGTTATCATTGATGGATAGAAGTAAGTTTGAGATTGGCAGCTGACGATGGTCCAAAATGGCCAGTGCTTGACAGGAAGAAGTACATAGTTTGAATGACTGACATGCAAATTAAAATTTTTGTAGTTTAAGCAGCAGGAACAATAGTTTGTATTAATTTAATCCTTAAAAGAAATAATGCATGGGATGGCAAAGTTGCTAGTAAGGAGACTACTATGGAAGAATTAATGTGTCATAATGGTGTGTTGAGTTAGAACTATCGGCTGAATGATAACAGAAATATTATTATTATGATTGTCTTTAGTGCATTTTATGTTACGTACACCTGACATGAGCAACTCAATTCTTAATTTACATTTAAGACTGGTAATCTTTTAGGTTAAAAGGTACATGTTTCAATTGCATTAAATAACCTTTGATGTGCCTCAATCTACTTTTGCAATATATGATTGTAGAATAGTAGTGCCCAACAATTATCTTTTCAATACCAACAAACACAAAAACATTTTTCAAATTCATCTTTTACGAAGAGGACAACGTTGCACAAAAACTGTCCCTTTGTGCAATCAAATTTGATTCTTACATCCATCTAATTAAACCATGATACTTGGCCTGCCTTTAAAATTACTCTTTAACCCATGCATATTATCCACTACAAGCACAATAATAATTAGTTCCTACCCCTCATTTCTTCCCCCCAAGCTTCCACATTTTTCTGCCATTCTTCACTACACAAAACTTTTAGGCTTTACCCTATGTAAATAGCAACAAATACATCTTTATACAGATTCCTGATATGGTTCTGCATTTTCTATCACTTCCTTCAAAGCTCCAGCTCCCAAGCACTTGAGAACCTAGATTCAGAAGCCAACTATCATAATAACATATATATTTATATATCATACCCCAAGTTATTCTGATCAAAATGGATTTTTCAAGATGTTGAAAGCTTTAAATAAGGAAGACTTTTACTGAACATAACAGGGAGATTATCAACATCATCATCATCACCTAATTATACTCTCATAAAATCACATGGACAACAGCAAGTAGCATGATTTAAAACACTGCCGAGTTACATAGAGTGGAATCTTCTACTAAACATGAATAAATATCATCATGATACCATAAGATCCAACACTAATACAAGTCACTCCAACAGAAATATCAACTAGAGAAGCAACAATGTGAGAGAGAAAGAGAGAGAGAGATGTGCAAAGGTAGATAACTGAATAAATTGTGTCTCTCTTAGTATACACTAACTTTTGCATTTCCATTGGTAGCCCCAAAAATGTTCAAAATGGTGGTTCGCTCAATTTTTCCCATATCAATGCCAGCATATCAACTATATTTAGAAGTTAGAAAAGAAAAGAAAATTAGAGCAAAAAATATGATCAAACCTCATTTGCATCTTTGAAATAACGGCAGTCATCTTTCTTTGGCCAATGCACTCGCCAACATCTGATAGCCAAAATTTAAATATGTTAAGAAGATAAAGCTAAGCTATTTGGGCATTGATTTGAGGAAAAAGAGCCAGAAAACATCCTTTAAATGTGAAACCACACTATCCTCACAAGAACTGAAGCATCCTTGCCATGCTACAAAGAACATAGTGAAAACTACCATCACTAAAGGTAATATTTATGACTTATATTAAAGTCTTCAGAAGGCATTTCGAGCCATTTTTTTTAATCTCAGATCTTTTATCATCCTGAAAGAAGAATAAGAGTTAACATGAAATGATCAATGATCATTGGTTTGCAGTTGCTATATGCTAATAATGTACACCTAATCTCTAGTAGGTTAAATGGATTTCAACTATGTGACAGACTAGTTTGTACTGTAACCTTTCTTTTCCAAGGCGGCGAGCTAGCTCCTCAGCCAAGGCATTGCCAGGATTGTCAACATCAGTTGCCAAGATAACGCGAGATACCTAAGACATTTATATGGAACAGTATAATAATAAAGGAAAGGAGGGAAATGAAATGATAAAAGAAATGTAAAAGAGGCAAAAAGCTTGATGCTAATCGATGCCAAACCTAAGCTATATTTGCAAAATCTTGCACTACATTTACTCACCTTATCCAAGTACTCTTTGCAGTTCCATAGATACTGATATGCAGTGTCCTAGCTTGCAAAAAGGATGGACAGAAAAAGAAAGGAAAAGAAATAAAAATTCATACCATGCAAGGCAGCACGGTAGTTGGAATCCATAAGGTGCATATTTAGATGGAAATCTATGGAGAAAAAGGGAAATCAAAATTCACACCAAACTAGGCAGTACAATAGCAGTTTGAGATTGTGTACATGTATATATGGAAATCTATGGATATGCGGACATCTAGGCATTTGTTTAATTTTTTTCTTCTTTTACAGATCCCAAGAAAAGCATACCTGACTTAATAATCCTATTTAAACAGTTTGTCCATTTTATAGAGCTTCAAAAGTTATCGACCTCTTGCACGAAATAATAACTATTTTCTGATTCATATGGCAGCATAAAATTTAATTTCTTTCATAAATCAAACAATGTTCTAATATTATGTTGACAAGAAAAGAAGAGAATTCATTTGCACAGTCAAGGCAAATTAAGTCAATGTGAAGAATACAAATAAATAGGTCAAGATTCCAGTCCCAATCCATACCTTTTCCAATGTTGGTAATTCTTTAGCAGAAACCATCTGGGGTGCACCAGAAGGAACACTTACACAATTATGTAAACCAGCTTCTTCTACTGCAAGCTTATCTATTTCACCTTCAACCTTCAACTTATTGTAAACATAAATTACATCACAGTAATAAAACATACACATGTATGAGAGAAACAGAGAAAGAGTTATTTTATTGAAGGGCTATGTCAAACCAGCCAGAGTAATTACAATGATGACTTCAGCAGCCTCCTCGATGTCATCAAGTCCATATAACCATTTTTTTGTACCCTTCTCCTGTAATTGGAAAAATAAATCTTATTGTATGAAATGATATTTCCATTTAAACATAAAAATGAAATATAAAAAGGGTGAAAATGGACCTTATTGTCATATCTAGTTCACAAAATAAAATAACGAGAAAACAAAATACCTATTACACAATACTAGAATATGGTGGGAATAGGAATGTAACAAGTATTTTATGGTTTGGTTTGTAGAAATGGAATAGAGTAAATATTGTTAAAATATTTGGTTGGTATGGTTTCTAAGGATATGAAGGAATTACTGTAAAAACAACATTATTGCCTTGAAAATATACAAAAACAATTCATTTATAAAACTTTCAACATATTTTCCCTTATATTTCTCTATCTTCTTTCCTTTATTTTCTCATTTTCTTTTTTTTTTATTATTATTTTGTTTACATTACTTTCACTTTCTCTTTCGCTTTTTACTATTTTCCTTTGCTTATTCATCTCTTCCTCTCAAGCTATTGCTACATGCAAGTGGATCCGATAACCAGCATGCTGGTTTGGCATGGCAAGATCTTATTGCCATTGTGCCTATCTGCCAATACCAGAGGCAGCTTTGCTAGAAGCCTATCGGCATTCTCTATAATTCTCTCCTTGGACCAAGGATAAGACAGAATATTTTAGCAACATGCAAGGGAAAACCGCCCAATAAACAATATTTATATCGTCCATGAGATAGGAATGGTTATTACCTAATGGGAAGTGCAGAAAGTTATTCTGTCTTTGACCCAGAATAGCTATATGCCCCTCAAAATTGAACCAAGCATGGGAACAGCTATTGAATAGATACACAATGGAATAGCTACCCATGAACCAAACATGTTATAAATACACAAATGAAGAGATGGAATAAAACATTTTGTTCAAAGCTTACACAATGTCAATTCTCAGATTAACAAGCCTTTATTTCTACAACTATAGATGCTTTTTTTAGGGTTGGGGGCAAGGTAAGGGATTCAATTCAGTTCTTCTCCACACAAACTAAACCGCAAGCCTGGTAATGGGTATGAATGCATCCAAGACGCAATTCTGCCTCAGCAGTGCATAATAAAAACCATGAGAATGTCAGCATGCATGATCTTCCAATGCAATGGCATAATCAAATAGCACTAGGTTAATCTTCTTATACAATCAATCATTCTATTGTTATAACCTCTTGCACAAATAATGTCTCCCTCTGCTACTATGATTTCTTAGGATATGACTCATATTGACCTTTAAGCTTGAATCTGGTTGTTTATGGGTAACATTTATGGATTAATCTTATATAGCGCCTTGGGTTATAGAATAACATCTGGAAAACATCAACTGTTTTTGTGTTCTATGAATGTTAGCAGATAAGTAACACTTTACCTGCCAAAATTTTTTCTCCAAGGTTCGGTACTTGCACCCAACAACCGCACCATTCCTTCTGTAAGTGAAAGCAATGACAGCCTGCTAAAAATATCATCAATAGTTAGATCAAAAAGTAAATGTTCTCAGTTAAAAGGTTGATCAAAGGGAGTATTAAGATGGCCAAAAACTGAATTTGACATAGAAACTTTATCCAATAGGGAAAATGTTTCCATCAATATATAGGTGAACAGGAAAATGTCAAGATGTTTCATGACATCTGGATCAGAAAATATAGGACAAATAATTGTAGCAGACCCATAAAATGATGACCTAATCCTCTTTTGATGATAGATGAAAACATGTTGCAAGGTTCTGCATCTATTATATCAATAACAGACAACTACTAAGAATATATAAAGCCTGATAATCACAGATAGGACCTAAACATCAGCAATAGTTGCTTTTAAGCAAAAAAATTTTTAAGTTTTAATTCCAATCATTCTTTTAAGTACAGAACTACATAACTTTTAGTCAGTTAAATAAGGTTTCAATGCTGAAAAGGTTTTGACTTTGCATTGATTCATTATAAGGTAAACGATAAAAAATAAAATGCTGCAATTGATAGTTCAGGGGACCTGGTCACCAGATTTTTGCATAACAGCATTTCTCTGCAGAGTTGCCTTAGATATCCTTCGCTCAGCAAAATAAGCAACCAACTAGCCAAAGCAGGGTAGTAAGCATCAATTATCAGTTCCAGTAACATGTCAGAATTTATTATTAAGAAAAAACAGTAGAGAGACATTATCATGTTTATGAAATTGTGTCTTACACTTCTAACTGTCATTAATTAAATAGAGATAACATCATCCAGTAATATCTAACTCGTGCAAACGGTTAATTCGCTGGGCTAGAAGCCTGTAGGTGCAATTCCAACTTTGTTCTTTCAGCAGATATGGTGCTACTGTTACATGAACTAAAATTATGCAAGTACAGAGAAGTTTAATAATGCGGGGTTGTGGTATATATGATAAAGAAAATAGAAACAAAAGAAAGAAGCGTAGAGGCCGGGACTTTACTAAGATAATCAAAAGGTGAAATTCAACTTAAGATAATATTGCCTTTAGAATTTTCAATGTAGTTGTAAACACAGTACCAACTCTTCTTAGAAATTTAAGGACAAACAGATGCATACCATTTGATATTTTGGTTCAGAAATTTAAGGATAAATTTGTTTAAAGTATAGGCTCAGAACATTTACTTTCTCAACATTGTTACGAAGCATGCGTCATATTGTGCAAACTAAATTTCAGGTCCCAACTTCCATCGATGCCTGTGTAGGATATCTACCCAAACCTAACCCACAAACCCCAATGTTACTGCTTGAACAAAGATGTGGCTGCTTCTGATATTTATGAGAAAGAAAAAGAAAATGCAGCAAAGAGATGTAACAGAAGCATTAACCTTTTAGCCTTTTTTACAGAAGTTAGTAGTAACATGGCTTGCAAATAAAAAGACTAAAAAACTATGATGGATAAACCCATAACAAATCTACTTACTTCATCTCCTATTGGTTCTAACTTTGTGCCATTTATCGTTATTTTAGAGCTGTCCGCAAATGCCTGCAATGTAAACAACGTCATCAATTCTGCTATCTGCAAAAGCTGTTGTTTTTCTTTCTTTCTTTTTTTTTTCTTTTTTCATTCGTATATAAATATAGACAAAGACATGTAAGAGGAAAACTGGAAACCTGGCCTGCCCAACCGCAATTAGTTTGAAAACATCTCCGCATTGCAAAATATCTACAACCAAATGATTTAATAAATTAAAACGTAAATTACCCAGATTTGGGAAAAGAGAAAATGAAAATATATATATATACTTAGTAATTACCCATGTTGAATATTATGCTGAGATAAAGTCTTGTCCATTGACTTGCCACCTCTGCACTGCACTACGTTCCCAAAATTATACTAAGTAGTTCATTTAGAAACAAAAGGGAAAAAATAGAGATAGAGTAGACACCTGGGGACAGAATAAGCAATTGTATCGCCCAGGAAGACAGCAATCGAGGCATTGAATCCCAAGAAGTTCGATTTTCTTCTTTGATTCCGTGAGTTTTGATAGTTTGGGGGTCGGGGTGGTTGGGACTTTGGGATTGAATTTGCGGGCAGAAGAACAAACGCTGAGTCTCGTAGGGTTAAGAAAGAAGAAAAAATGGCGATGACGAATGATATTGTTAGCAAAGGGCATTGCTTCTTCTCACTCACTTAATACTCCATATGATTTGATATTCATGCATTGCAACTTTTTTCACTCGCTGTATACCAAACACAATTCGTTACTGGCCTCCGCACCTGAGTTTTTTTCATTTGGGAAAGATGCCATTGCGAAAGCTCGAGCATAAGGGACTGCATCAAAAGCCCAAGCCCATTGATGAAAATTTATTAAAAAAAAAATCTAATAATTTTGCATGAAATATTAAAAATATTTTATAATGATTTTAATAACGGGCGTGTATATATATATATATTTTAAAAAAATTTAATTATTTAAAATTATTTATTTATTTACTTATTTTGGTACATAAATAGAGATAGTTCATGGGAAAGGGGATGTCATAAACGCAGCCTCTTCTATGATTGGTTCCAAAGGAACAGCAAAGGGTAACGAAATAAGGTTAACAATAAAAAGGTGACAGAGAAGAGAAGGTTAAGAAAGTAAAAAAAAAAAAAATTCACTACTAGTAGTAGTGGTAATTAAGGTCTAATTTAGTATTGTGATTTGAAAAAAATGTGATTTAAAAATTGTAAGTATTTAGGATTGCTAAGAAAAAGTGTTATTTGTGTATATATATATATATAATAGAAGTTTAAAATTATAAATAAAAAATAATTTTACTTAAAAAAAATGCTTTTAAATTGCAAACGTACCTTTCAATTAACTTTTATGATTAGTTCACTTTTAATTGTTAAAAATTATTTTTAACGCAAATCAAAGTGTATTTAGCATTACATTTATGTTCAAAAACTACGTTTTAAATCCAAATCCAACACTTAACGAAATCTAAGACTAATTATTAGTAAGTAATTAAAATTAATAAGTAGGAGGAGGGAGTGACGAACTGAACAAGACTTTTTTTTTCCTTTGAAAATATGAGTAGAGAAAGAGTTTTTACCATTGCCCTTTTTTAAGGTTGTTTGCTACTGTGCAAAATTTTAAATTTTAAGGTATATGAAATTATTGATCATGGAATGGTAGCAAGATGTAAATGGATATAACTTTTTATAAATTTTTTATGATTATATTCAGTTTTTATTCGATTATATTTGTTTATTAAGTTTAATAGGTGATTTGATACAATATTTTAATATTCATTTAATAAACGAACTAAACACAAACAAATATATATTTTCGTTACTCATATTCATGAACAAATTCATTTAATATTCATAAATAATTTTAATAAATACTTGTTATATTTTGTTTTTATTCCTTTTAAGATGATTACTTTATGATTAAATTTTTTTAACAATATCTAAATCACAATTTAATATTAATAAACAATGAAAAGTACACTTAACATATATTAAAAATCTTTCATAATGTTTTAAAAATATTACCCCGTTATCTCTTTTCTCTTTTTTGTTCATCTTTCCTTTTAAGGATGTTCCAAAATTATATCATTTTCCTTTTTTGAACATCTAAAATTCTCATTTTTTATGATTTTTTTTACATTAAAAATTATGGAAATTTAATTTTATAAAAAAATAATTTTAATATTAAATGCATTAAAGTTAAAGTTTTTTTTTTTTAATATCACTTTCTATTGTTTTGTACATAATAAATTTTAAATGTTGCCCGAGAGTTTATCCACATTCTACACTCCCTTTTAGGAGCTCAATTGAAGACAAAATAATAGTGTGCTTCTTAAAGATAATCTAATTAGAATTGTCTAATGATAAATAGATATACCATTAGTGATCACATAAGATAGAGTGTTTTGCACACTGACAATTAAAGATGCAATTAGAGACAATTTGAAAAGTTTCACAAGGTTGAAATATCAAACTACATAGATAGTTCACCACTACTATATTAGATGTGATAAATGGTTTTCATGAGCACATTCTGAAAACAACCACTATTGAGACCAGTTTCTAGTATGGCAAATTTTTAAATCATTTTTTTTCTAGGGGTGTCAATGTAAAATTCACTCATAAGTATAGAAGAAAGCATGCGATTTAAATATCATGAGTGTTATAACCATCTAAGAAAAAGAGATATTATACACTGATAAATCTCATTCTACTTTCTAGATGATATAGTTAGTACTACTGCCAAATGAAACATCATTGAGAAAGGTCCCATTAAAGTTACCTAAAAGAAAAAAAAGAATTTTGTGAAGCCAACTTCACATTTTGATTCAAAAAATGCCTCTAAATTTTAAAATCAGAAGAATTTGAAAATGTGTGCCACTTCTATTATAAATCAAGCACAAGAAGGCAAACTACGAAAGTTTTCTGATTGAAAAGTGAAGCAAGGCATTCAATTAGCCTTTTTCATTTGAATTCAATCTAAATACTATACCTTCTATTTTTCATAGTTGGATACGGGTGCTATTGTTGACAAGCCAAGTTCTAAAATTAGTAAGCAATTAAAGACCAAATCAAGAGAAAATAGTTATGAATAAAGGGAATCTTTACAAGTTACACTTATAGTAAATGGTGTGATCGTTGGTTTTAATTTTGGTAGAACATATGAGAAGCCTACCATGTTGTGGTATGGTAATTATGAACATTCTAAAGTTGGCACATATAGATTGCATTAAAAGAAATCTCGTTGTTAATATAGAGTCTTAATTAACAGATACAGAGAAATTTAGTAACTGATGCATACAAAAAATTACATATCATTTTCACTTAATGCTTTCAGTAAATATAAGCGTTTCATCACTTTCACTAAAGACCATCCAGGTTTTGGTCGTGTAGAGTGAGAAGTTTGACTATGTGGAACCCTTAAGTTTTTAAATTCATTGTCAAATTTTCGAAAATACAAAATTAAGGCAAGAAAACCAAACATAGGTGATGAATATTATGGTTCATATAATTAAACTAGGTGGAATGCTAGACTATTCAATTAATTGTTCTACAGGATTGTGGTGTTGACGCCTAGATGTTTATACATGAAATTCTAAAAGTGAATAAGGATACAATAATATGGTAACTATACACTTTTATATATGGTGCGATATATGCTGAGTCATTCTACATTTTTGGATTTATGTAGAATGAAGCCTTAGAGACTACAACATTTAGCTTAAATCAAACTCCAAGAGAAATTATTTCTTAAAAGTCGTTACAAATTGTGGTTAGATTAGAAGCTAATTTTTGAACTATTTTTCATGTTTAGGATTGTAATATAGATTTATAGGCTCACAATTCTTAATCAAGAAAACTTGATTAGAAAACTATCAACAACATTCTATTAGTTGTTGCATCAATTTAGAGATTCTAGATTCAGTCATTAGTCATACAAGAAACATCGAGTCTAACTATACAATTTATCTAGAAGATGACTTATATAGTAGGAGTATTAAGTTTTGAACTTTACAACATCATTCTTATTAAAGGACATGTTATTGTGCCAGTCTATTATGTAATTTAGCTATCAATGGAAAATGCCATAAATATTTAAATCAACAATAGATCCCAGCAATCTCATTTTGGACCTGCACCTGAACTTACAAAGGAACATGAATATGGCATTCATGTGTCTTTTTATTTTATTATGTTTTAGGAGCCTTTTTGGTGATTCTAACTTTCTAGTTAGATGTTTAACATACAAGATGAGATTACATCTGTATTGTATAATAGTTTGTCAGATTAGGATAAATAACCATATAGTTGTAGTCCAATTGATTATAAATTGACTTATAAGATTGAAATGGATTTCATAGGCTAAGTAGAAAGGTTTAAAGCCAAATATGTGATTGAGGGCTTTAAATGAAAAAAAAAAAAAAGGAATTGATTGTAAAAAGCCATTCTATCATGTTTTTACCATCGATTCTTTTAGAGTTTTTATAGCATTAGTGGCTCATTCAATTTGAAGCTACATCAGTTAGATGTGAAGACGTTTAAATGGGGTAACCTAAAAGTTTTGTAATTTTTTGTAATAGAACATACAATTTGTAAACTCGAATAATCCATTCATGGACTTAAAAAGTATCCCTTATGTGATATCTAAAGTTGATTAGATTGACATTTTAAGAAAACATTCATGATCAGAGCATATGTGTAGAGGTTAATGTGAGTAGCTACATATTTCAGGTGCTTTAAATTGATAATGTCATATTAGTAACCATAGACACTAATCTATTATTTGAGTCATAAACATGTTGTCAGGTCACTTTGAATGAAGAATCTAAAGGAGGCTCTCATTTTAGTCCAAGGGATTAAGATTTTTTGAGACAAATATAAAGGCATATTTGTTTGGTCTTAGAAAAACTACATTCAGTATGCATTGAATACATTTGATATGCACTGTAGTTTTTCTAATAATGTGCTTATTGTGAAAAGGTGACATATTGTTAAATTTCAAAGTTCTCATAATGATAATGAAAGAGCTCATATTGATTATTTAGTATGCCTTGACGGTGGGTAATCTAATGTACATTTAAGTTTGTATGCATTATAATGTTGTATATGATTTAAGTGTATTTCAAAGACAATTATGCAAATATTAAGAATCCAACATTATAGATTTAGTCATATATTTTGATCCTTTTTGATATGCTATAAGTAGCCAATTTTGGTAATATTGGTTAAAAGAGCTATTTTTTGAAAAGTATGAAATGAATACTTATAGCGTCATTAATTATGGAGACAAAACATTTAGCATGTTGTGAAGGTACATGTCAAATTATCGGTTGTAGAATTTCATCTCAGGGTTTGGATTTCATGGCTTTAATTCTGAAGTCACTGAAGATGTGTTCAAGTAACTCTACAACAATTGCTCCCTCTCAAATACTAAAAGTTCTTCACACTCTAAATAAATAGATATCAACATTTAGTTTATTAGAGAGAAAGTAATGGAATCCATTGTAGGAGTAAACTATAGAGCACGTAACCTACAGAGCTCATTCTGGTGTAAACACTAACTTATTGTGGTTGCTAAAGTGTATTGACAACATGACACTTATATAAGGCTTGTAAATCCTTTTACTGAATTGAGTTGGTGAGAGCTCTATATAATGAAATCAGTTGCAACTATAATTCATGGATTCTTATTAGCCATATATGTATGTTGTTTGCATGTATTTCAATGAATATGACATTTTGTTGGATGAGACATTCTAAATTAGTCTAATGTGCTTCTATTGTAGTAATACATAATTCAATTTAGATGCATGAACTTAATGAAAATGAATATTAATTATGTTTTCGTATCATTTCCATTTCACACTATCATACTACTACTTCTGAAATGTTTATAAGTTTATGTACAGTACCATATCAGTATGGTGCATTCTGGAACTCATAAATTCTTGTTGCTATTGGTAAAATATTCATAAGTTAATGTACATTTATCCTTTCGATACAATACATTATGAGACATATAAATACTTTATGGTTGTAGAAAGCATGTAAATCTACACATTTGTACCATGTTGCTACAATGTATTATGGGGCTTATAAATGTTTATTTTGTTTTATGATAATTCGAATATTTACTCATATTTAACAATTCTAGTTATGACCAATCTATTAGTCTAAATTTGGTCTTTAAATATACAAGTATATATATTATATTATCTTTAAAATATTCAAAATTGATTTGTGTTGTTCAAGTGAAAGATTATTACAATTATCTTATATTGTGGATTAATACAGTCAATTAATTTAGACTTAGGTCAATTGTGAGTAATTACAATGGTACATTGTTGTGACATACCTAGTTATGTAGTATAATTTTAGTTAAGTGTGATCCTGGTTTAATTCTGTATTTGAATCTATAATGGAAAGAGTCAACTTTGACTAATATATTAATGAAGGTTCCTACTCTCACCTTTATATATATAGTCGGTTCATTAGATTTCATAACTTCAATTTGAAAAGTAAGAGTAGTTCTTTCTCTTTCTTTTATTATGCAGGTTACCATCAAAGCTTGAGAAATGGCATCGAAATCACAGGACAGAGGTATCAATTTTATGCACCTCGATTAAGTGAGATTAAACTCTCATCCGTATCTAAATCAATTTTAGTTTTAGTTAAATTTTGTGTTAATGAATCGGTAAGCTTTTGGGCAAATCTAACAACGTAAACATATATTGTTGCAATAGTTAGTTAATAGGTTTTCTTTTCTATTATTTTGTACTTATGGGAGGTAGGGAAGATGAATTCAGACTTTATGTCTATATCCTCGTAAAAAGGATATAACAAATCGCTGAGATAAAGATATGAATTTTCACATGCAAATGGATAAGGGAAAAAAGATTTCGTATTTTGTCTCTTGTGATTGACAAAATGTCTTCACAGTCAAAAGTCCTGTCCCTCCCTCGGGCCTCTAAGAATGCAAAAACCTAGTCTTGTGTTTAGCACATTCAAACTTGTAACTACCGTAAACTGCTCGAAAGATTTGACAGTTATAGTTATTTTGAATATCTAAGATAAGGGAAGATACACAATTCTCCTATTCTATGTGGGTATGGCTTCCACACCAAGTACTTGTGCATCGGTTCTTCTCTTCTTTATCACTCTTTTGTCTTCAGTTTCTGCAACAGTGGTAGACGACCTTGCTAATTTGCATCCACCTTCTGATTTTAACACAACAATTATTTCCAACTGTATGAAAGACACATCTCTCAGGTACTGCAGTTCATCTCCAACGGCTATGGACCTCAATGAGATCTTTAGATTCACCATTGTTGCTAGTCATCTCTGTAACGAATCAAAGAATCCCAATTGTGTTGAATCATTCCCCAAAATAGACCTTCGAAGCCGTCCCAAGATTACCCCACTCTACTTATCATTCAGTTTTTTCTGGAAATATTGTCCCATCACCATCCTCTCCATTAATCTCTCCAACAATTCTCTAAAGGGAAGTTTCCCAACTGATGTCCTTCTGTGCACACAAATCCAGGCTCTTGATTTGAGTCACAATGATCTTTCAGGGGATGTCCCAATACAAAGCTTCTCTCCTCTTACCAATCTTACCCTTCTCAATCTTTCCTACAATCAATTTTCGGAGAGTAAGATCTCAGATTCCCAGTTCTTCAAACGGTTTAATTCTTCGAGTTTTCTCAATTCAGGTCTCCTCCCAAATCACCAAGAATATCGGGTGAAGGCTGTAATATTATTGCTTGGCTTTCCAATCGTTGTCATTCTGATGGTGGGTTGCTTGTGGTGGCTGTGTTTTCGAAGGCCTGATTTCCTACCAAAAGCGCTTCAGAATAAGCACAAATTCACAAATTCAATGTTGAAGGCGGCCACCAACGGGTTCTCAAAGAAGAATAAGGTGGGAAAGAGTGAGGGTTTTGCTATATATAGAGGAATCTTAAGAGATGGCACTGAAGTGAGGATTGAAATCTACTTGAATAACGTCATTTCAAGGGAAAACCGCAGGAAGTTTGTTCAGGAATGTAAAGTTCTTGTTCAGTTGTGCCACAAGAACTTAGTAAAAGTATATGGTTGGTGTAGTAATCGAACTTTGAGCGCCCGTGTTACTGAATGGACAGGTGAAGAGAGTGTTGAGATGTGGCTATCAGAATCAGCGCCATCCTGGAAGCTCAGGTTGAAAGTGTTGGTGGGAGTTCTGAAAGGCATGTGTTATCTTCAGGAGCAATGGCCTGAGGTTGATTATGATCTCAGGACAAGCGGTGTTTTGATACATCAAAGTACGGAGCCTTTAATTGCAAGGTTTAAAGTTGGCGAAAACAGCAGCAGAAAGAGTAAGTCTAATATTCTCACCGTTTACGGTATTTCCTGTCCTCTGCTGCATGCGTTCTGGTTAGTTTTTGTATCTGTGAAAGTTTAAACCGAGTACATTGACTTATTCGTATCTCAGAAATTTACAGGTTCGGAGTTTTTCTGCTGGAGATGATGACAAACGGGAGGCTGGGGAAAGAGTTTGAGGGGAGTGAAGCAGGGTTTTTTGAGTACGTTAAAACACAGTATCCTGGAAATTTGCTGAAGGTGATCGATGAGAGAATGAAACTGACAGAGAATACATTTGATCAAGCTAAACAGGCAATAGGCATTGGATTAACATGCACAGATCATTCAACAAATCGGCATCTTCGCTTGGGTCAGATTTCTAACATGATCACTAGAATCTATGAGTCTTGCCTGGTTTTGGCTTCTCAAAATCATAGCAAGTCTCGTGCTAAGGGAGGAAGTCATCAACGCATATAAGTCAAAGAAACAAATACGTAAAACGTATTATATTTGCTATTATAGCTCCAGAATTATTAAAATTAAAATTCATCAGAAAAAAGAAACTCATGTAGTAGATCAAGTGACATATAATTTTTTATCCAACATTTTAAGGAACTTGTAGTCATAATTTCCATCCGTGCCCCGTTGGTTTTCCATCTTTTCATTTTTCTTATTAAGGAAATTGATTTATAAGGATCCTCTCTATCGACTATGGATAAATATATTTGAGTGTGAGGACAGGGGAGAGGTTAATTATTCCCATACCCAGTTTTAGACTACAGGATAACAAAGACCATGATTTCTCTTCAAAAATGATGAAAAATAGAAAATACGAAAAGAAGAGATGACGTAGATAACTCTGCAGCGAAATATTGATGTTGGCATAAATGTAACAATATCTATAAATTGTACTATACTGAATTGAATCCCACTTTAGTTTAGCCAGTGAGGAGTTTTGTTTTGAGCAACATTGAAGAAATCAAAGCAGATCTGTGTAGCTTTACGGATTTTATATTCTTTTCAATATCAAAATATAGGTAGGATTAGGTCTCATGAAGCAACAATTACTGAAAGCATTTATGAGAAAACTAACAGATTGTTCAGTTTAAAAAGCACTATCATTTATCAACTGCTTTTAATTGGTCAATACGTAATAGATGATAACCTTCATTTTATACAGGTGCAATCCACATTGAGGAAATAGGTCCTTCAAGTATAAATCAGATCTGGTGATGCTTTGGTCTTCTTTGTCCAAAACAAATCCTGCAAATGCATAATAATAGCTCAGTGAAACTCATCTTTAAAGACCAATTATCATGCAAGTTCATTTCAAATTGATTTTATGCAATGATCAGTGCAAAATGGGATATGGCTGCTCACTTTTCATTTTGCATTAAGGTGTTTAGGAATTATTAGAGATACTATAAAGTTAACAGCTCAGGTTCATTACTTATGCAGGAATAGCAGCCACTTATGTGCTAAGTTCACTTTGTTTGAATTGCACATCACTTCGTGGCCAAGGGAGAATAAAAGGAGTGGAAGAAAAGGCTCTTTTTCTTTTCTTAAGAGTGTAGAACAAATTTTAGGATTATTTATACAAAAACTTTATAATTTTTTTTTATTTTGCTACTTTACTTTTAGCATCTGATTTTTTAGGATAGCTCCGAAGAGATTAGATTGCATCGGACAAAATTTTAGTTCTACGCGTCATGATATTTACGGATGACAAGTTTTAAAGTTTTTGAAATTAAGAATCTTAATACAAAACCTGCAAAACAAGAAGATAAAATTTAGTTACTTAGTTTTAATATAGTTTTATAGGGTTATACCGGAGAGGTGAATAATTATTATTGCCTTTTCCACAAATGAATTACACATTAAAAGAAAAAAAAAAAAATGATGCCTGGATAGAGTTCCAAAGTGTCCTATGTTTCAAGCCGATTCAAGTTTAGTTTTCTTAGGGTTGTTTGAAGTTCAAAGTCAATAGAGTTATGGGATATTCAAGTTTTTGGAGACTATGTTCAAGATTGTTGAGCTCCTAAGTTGTTGGGTTTGGATATGTAGCATTCTGGCTGACTTTGAATTTGAATTGTTCCAGTCTCAACCTTCGGTAACAATTTTAGTCGGTTTGAGTTGGTTAAAGTTAGGTTGATAATTGAGCCAACTCAAGTTGAAATCATGACAAGCTTGAACTTGACTCAAGACCGGGAACATAACTTGAAAATTTTTTGAGGTTTGTCTTTAATCTCCAAGCTTTACTTTATTTAGTTTTATAAGAGTATTATATACACAGAACATTAAAATACATTAAAAAATCAAATTTTAATTAGGCTCTTGAGCCATATAGCTTGAGTGTTAAAATATATACAATGGAACTAGATTTGATTGGCTCAATTGATTACTTAAGCTTAAGAATAATTTATCAACAAATTAATCGGATCAAAATATTTTACGAATCAAATCTAAATAATTTATGAGACTTCACTCTTAATTTAAGTTGTTGGGCTAGGTTATCTTTCTTCCACCTCTAGATACCATCAATTTTCACCAATAAAGCTGTAAATAGACATTGTTGACAAAAGGTGTCCCAAATTGGTAGCATAATAAAATGACAGCCCATATCCATTCGAGAGAATGATACTCATCCCAGCACCTACAAGTTGTAGGTTTCAGCACTTTTGTTTTTTACACTAGATAATGGAGCCTAAATATTCAGTTATCCTTTTTGTTGTTTTTATTAGACACCTATTATTTATAACATTAACAATTATGTTTACTTAAAAGTTGTAGACGGCAGATGAACACACAGTAAAACAGTAATGTCAGCTCAAGAAAGCAATTATATGAAATACACCAAAACACAAGAAAGTATGAGGAATGCATAAAACAAAAACTTGAGCACTTAGTCGGAATCAATCATACTTACTAAAAAATAAAAAATCATAAATAGAGTACCATTTCTAGCAATGTTCTCTTTTAGTACAAAGAACCACCAGGCTTTAAGGCTTACTTGGAATCAAAATATTAATTAGGATATCTATATTTTATATATAAAAGTATGAATTTTAACATTGTTAATGATCGGCTTAAATATCTCTATGAATTTTTAAATTAACAAATTTATTTTTAAATATATAATTTTTATTAATTTATTTAAATTTAATTTAAATCAATTAGAATTTAAAATAAAGTTTATGAGAAATTAAACTACTTAAAATTTTAAAATTTTAATTTTAAGTGTTATCAATGATTGACTAAAATATTTTTAGTAAATTTTTTTATTAATTTTAATTTAAACGAATTTTTATTATTAGACCTTTTTTTAATAATTAAACTCAAAAAATACTAAAAGTGATTGACTAAACCCTTAATAAAATTTTAATTTTGAAAATATCAAAAGTAATTGATTAAAGTATCATTAGAAACTTTTTTATAAATTTTAATTTAAATGATTTTTTTTATTATTAAACTTTTTTTTATAAGTGAAATGATTTTTCACACCAAATGAAAGTACAAAAAAATGATATAAAATCTTAATATGCAAAGGAATAAAACAATTATATGAAATTTGTTTCTTTAATTATTGTAAAAATAACTGTACATGCAGTTTATGTTAATAAATAAATTTATTAAAAATAATTATAATTAAGTCATTTAAGCATATTTGTTCTTTTTTCTATTTTTTACTTTTAAATTTTTTGTTCTAATATATTAACTATATATATGATAATGATTTTATTATCTAAATGTTTTATGAATTAATTATTAGATCATTGATTAAATGAATCTGTAAAGAACAACTGTTCTACCCTATTCCATTTAGGGTTATGGCATGTATATTTATATCATGAGAGATGATAAGCATATTTACACATATCTAAATATATAACTATTGACAACATATTCTAATATGCCACTCGAGCAATTAAGGGGAACTCCACAAGAGCTTGTTCTTAAATGGATGAAAAATTGAGGAAAAAAGTCCATTAGTAAATATATCAACTAGTTGTGATTAAGAACGAACAAAAAACACTTAAAGAAAATGCTTGCAAACAAGGTCTCAAACAAAGTAATAAGAGGTCTCTATATGTTTTGTGCGAGCATGAAAGATTGGATTGGCAGCAAGTTGAATAGCACCCATATGTCAGAATATACAGAACAAGGTAATGCAAAAGAAAATCCAACCTCATTCAATATATAAGAAGTCTAAAGTATATCCCAAAAAGCTATAGAAAGAGTCATATACTCTACTTCAGTATTAGATTGATCAATAGAAACTTACTTTTTAGTACACCAAGAAACAGAATTGGAACATAAGAAAACACAGTGACCCATTATAGAATGTCTAATGTATGGACAACCAGCCCAATCAGCATTAATATAGCATACCAGATTCAATGTAGTGCAAGGAAATAATCGAATACCACAATTGATAGTTCTTTTAAGATATCTCAAGATTCGTTTCACAGCCTGAAAATGAATATCACGAGACGCAAGCATAAATTGACAGACTTAATGCATAACATAAGTAATGTCAGGTCTAGTTAAGGTAAGATGTTACAAAGCTCTAACAATTATGTGATATTGTGATGGGTCTGAAAGTAAAATTCTGTCATATAGAAAAAGCTTCTTATCGGTAATTACTAGAGTAAAATTAGGTTTGCAGTTTTTCATACCCAAATGTGAAAGTAGAGACAACACATATTTTGTTTATGTCAACAACAAATGTTTAGGTATAGGATATGCCTTTATTCAAGAAAATAATGAAGATCATTGAGATCTTTTATTAAAAATTATGAAGAAAGCTGTGAAACGAATGAATGAATAAACATAATGAAGAACCAGTGAGAATGATATCATCCACATAAAGTCATAGTAACATTATGTCAGATGAAGAATGCCATATGAACATAGAAAGATCTGTTTGGCTGCTTTTGAAACCAAAAGCATGAAAAGCAAAATGAAATCTCTAAAACCAAGCTCATGGAGCTTGGGGAAAACTAGAAAGAGAGCGATATAATTTACAAACATGATGAGGATGATTAAAGTCCACAAACCCTAGTGGTTGTGCCATATAAACTTTTTCATGCAACTTGCCAAGTAAAAATGCATTTTTGACATCTAATTACTTGATGGACTATCCTTTATTAATAGTAATAAAGAGAAAAATTCGAATAGTGGTGTCCTTAACAACAAGGCTAAAGGTGAAGTCAAAGTCAATACTTTCTAGTTGTATAAAGCTTTTGACCACTAATCTTGCTTTATACCATTCAATGATACCATCAGCTCATTCTTTGATTTTATAGATCCAACAACAACCAACAACATTCATGAACAAATTACGAGGCACTAAAGACCAAGTATTATTTTGCATCAAAGCAAAATATTCATCCTTCATATATGAAATTCATTTTTCATCTCGATAGGCTTCTTTAAAGGATCTTGGCTCAATATATGAATAATTTGAAGCATGTAAAAAGTATGGTACTTTAGGCATTGGAATACCATCTCGACTTCATGTAACCATAAAATGTATGGTTCTAGAACTAGAAGAAGTGGAAGGCTCAGATGATGGTTGAGTAGAGGGTGCTAACATAGTTATATCAAGTTCAGAAATAGTTATATTTGAGATTGAAGCATTTGGTAATGATTTTAACAAAATTATAGTATAAGGTATAGGTAAAGCTACCTTGAAACCAACTTTAGGACATGCAGAAGAGTCAATGGGATAAGAACGAATCCCAAAAGCTGTAAAACCAGAACATTCTATAAAAAAAAAACAATTTTTATCAAATGTAACATGCTGTGAGATATAAACCCGACCATTAGAGGGGTCTAAACAATTATATCCTTTATGGATTGAACTATACCCAAAAAAACACAATGAGCGGATTTTAGAAAAATGTTTATCTTTTTTATAAGAAACTAAATGAGGATTACAAGCATATCCAAAAATTCTCAAATGATTATAGTTTGGCACAAAATTAAATGACACTTCAAAAGGAGAATAATTACTAAAACTAATATAGGAAGTTGATTGATAAGATAAACAGTTGTAGAAAATATCTCAAACCAAAGAGATCATGGTAAAGAAGTTTGAAACAATAGAGTCAAGCCCATTTTTTCAATATACCTATGTTTTTATTCTGCTAAACCATCTCGTTCATGGATATATGGATAAGAAATTTGAAAAAAAATATCATGGTGATTAAGAAAATTTTTAAAATCATCTTTAACAAGCTCATTAGCTCCATCGCACTGAAAAAATTTGATCTTATTGCCAAATTGATTTTTAGCCATAGTCTTAGAATTCTCAAAACAAGTAACACTATCAAAATGATGCTTCAATAGATAAAAACCAACTATAACGATTGAAATCATCCACAAAAATAATATAATAGCGAAAACCAATAATAATAGCAATGGACAATGACCCTCAAATATCACAATGAATTAATTCAAGAACATTAAAAGTTATCCTAATAGATAAATCAAAAGGCAAATGTTTACTTTTTCCCACTTGACAAGCTACACAAATTAAGTTACAAAAGGAAGAATCCTTAAGACATATAAACTTATTAGATTTTAAATGTGCTGTAATCTTACTAACTGGATGTCCAAATCATCGATGCCAAATCATTCCAAAAACTGAAGAAAAACTGCCACTGAATAAAACTTGTTGGTTGCATTGCCTTACACCAATGAATTATTCCACTTCTCTTGCAAAAATCACATAAAGGTTGCCTTTAATTATTCCATCCAGAAGTACCTTTCCCATGCGAAGATTCTTAATAACAAAACTCCAAGGAAAACAATAAAAACCATAGTTATTGTCTCTAGTTAGCTTAGCAATAGATAATAAATTTTCCTTTAATGCTGGAACAAATATAATATTTTTGAATGCTAAATAAAACCAAAACATAAAGCAGAATCACCAATACAAGTGATATTTAAAGAATTATCATCACCAATAAAAACATATTCATTACCAACATAAAAAGTGGACTAATGTACCAATGATGGATTAAGAGTTATGTGACTAGTAGCACCTAAATCTGCCAACCAATAGGCATCATTGTCATATCCATTAGAGCATTAAGTGGAGTAACATTTGAAGTAACGGTAGAGAGATAAAGATAGCAAAAGAATTGCTCAAACTATGATTAAATTTATTATAGTGGCATTGACATGTTATAGCAATATGGTTGAATTGGTGACAAATTTGACACTTTATGGCACGGTTTGAATGTTAAGAAAGTGGAAAGTTCCTGTTATCTCGATTATTTAATTAAAAGTCTCATTGAGACGTATGATTTATGCGAGAGAAAAACCAAGAATTATGATGATCATACATTTGATTAATGTGTTCAATGTGCCTAAAATCATGATGAGAATTATTGAAGCGCTGACCTCGACTGTCTAGGTGAGTTACCATGGTTGTCTCATGAGAACTAACAATGGCATTCATCGGTTGTGATGACAATACTTGTATTCTTTTTAAGCGTTATTCATGAACTAATAACCGTGCTTTCAAATCATTAAAAGAAATGGGATTATTTCTATTTTCAATAGCAAAGGCAACCGGTTGATATTCAATAATATTTGGCAATCCATTCAAAGTACAAGTGACTAATTCTGAATCAGAGATAGAATGATTTATGGTTGGTAAATTATCATAAATAGATTTAATCTTAGTAAGATATTCTTCAATAGACATAGTTCCTTTACTCAAACTCTGTAACTTATCATGCAATAGAGCTAACTTTACTTGACATTATGAATAAAAAAACAGTTCTAAAGTTATCCAAACTTGGTGAAAAGATGACAAATCCAAAACCTATGCTTGTGCACTTGGTGACAATATTACCTTCAGACAAGAAATAACAAATTGATCCTTCTTCACCCACTCTGTATATACAGGATTGCATGTGATTTCATTATCATTAGTTATTGTTTTAGGAGGAAGTGCAATGGTCCCATCAACATGCCCCATTCAATCACTACATAATAAAAAATGTGTTATCTGATCATGCCAAAGCAAATAATTTTCTGAGTTCAACTTAATAGAAATAAAGCTAGAAATATTAGTGAAGGAAAAAAACGGTATAAAAGAGGATTGATCGTTAAAAGCCATTAGAAGGTTTAAAAAATAATATATTATAAAAAAAGTTGTTAGGGTAAAATAATAAAAGTAATTGTTTTTAGATTTGAGAAGAAGACAAATATTTAGATTAGAATTAAATATGAGGAAAGAAGGAAGGCTACTACTCTGATACCATGAAATGAATCTGTAAAGAATAAATAATTTGCCCTATCCCATTTAGGGTTATGGCATGTATATTTATATCATGAGAACGTACAAGTATATTTATACATAGCTAAATGTACAACTATTGACAACATATTCTAATAATAACAAAATCAAATTTTTTCTCCCTTGAAATAATTTTTAATATATTATTTTTACATTTTAATATGACCTTTATAATTAATTTCTTTTTTGTAGTTTTTCTTTAAAATTTATAATTGTTATTCCCATGAACAAAAATTAATATCAAATCAAATGCAAATCAATTACACTTCTTCACCAACAATTAGCACATTGTGACTCATTGAACACTTTAATAGGACTATAAACGAATTAGATAATTCAAAAGATGGTAAAGCTACTAATAGCTCAAGATTACGTCCTATCAAATTATCATAAGAACTGTTCACCTTGTTTGAAATAATAATTGATTTAATTGTTTCTAAACTTTTTATAGTAATATGCTTATATATGATTAATTTATATCTCAAGATTATTTAATCAATCTCAATTATATTAAATTGCTTGCTTTCTTAGTCATATAGGTGGTTGAATTACCTAACATTAGACCTGGCAATTCATGTCATCATGTCGTGTAAAATATTGTATTCGCATTATGTTTTACACAAAAATCATGTGTCACAGTTCGTGTAGACACGAAAATATAAAATATAATTATTTTATTTTATTAAACCTATTTGTGGTTTTTCTAAAATTTTAAGTCGTGTTATCTCTATGTCCTTTATTCGTATCATTTTCGTATCGTATCATCCTATCATGTTTTAAATTGTCAAATCTACCTAACGTGAATTATTTTAAGTAAAAAAGTTATCAAGTGCAATAAAATTAATTATTTTTGAAAAATTCTTTTAAGGTGTGACAAAATTTATTGAAATTATCTTTTGAATGTGTCTACGCCAAAGTTATATTCATTCATGAAAATTTATTTGTTAACGCTGAAAATCAAACCATTTTAAATTATATAAGTATGATATAATAAGTTTGTTATTCTTGGAATGAAAATTTTCTTAATAAAATATGACAAGTACTAAGATTAAGGATTTATTTTGTTTTATTTTTTAAAATTTTGTATTTTAATATTTTTAAATAATAAAATTTTATATATAATAAATTTGTTTAAAATAAAAGAAAATTAAGCTTTCAATTGATAAAATGTACAATTATGTTCAATTGATAAAAGCATCAATCAAAAATTATCCTAAGTAAAAAAATAAGATAAGCATTTATTGGTTATGCATAACTTCATTTTTTCCATATAATAAAGAATGTTAGTACTATATTATTTTCAATGACAAATATATAATTGGATATGATTTCAAATTTTTTTAGGATTAATATGAAACTCTTTAAATTGGATAAAAACATTTGATAGTCTTTCATTTTCTCCTTTTATGACGGATGAAAAATATTTACTATTGTATCAAAATTTTTAAAACTGCTATATTAAGTAATATTTGTTCAAAATAATTAAAATTTATAGAATTAATTATCACTATTACATTTAATATAAAAATATTATTATAAAGTATAATTTAATTATACTTAAAAGTGATTTAAAGGCATTCATCAAAAAAATTCATTTGATAAATCTTTATTTAATTGTGTATTTAGTATTTCAATTATTTTAAATTTTGATTTTTCATAATTTTAAGTTAGATTTTAGACTTAGGATCAGCGACTAACTAGGTTAAGTCAATTTTTATTATCTATTTTTATTCATAATATACTCAATTATTCGCTTATGCAATCAAGCAAATTTGACTCAATAATTGATGTATGTTCCTCTTTATTTAAAAAGCTGGATTTAAATCATCCTAAATTCAAATAAAAAAGTATACTCAATTATTTATAATTGTAATTTTATTTTAAAAACACTATTAAAATTAATTAACTAATTCAATCACAAAGATAATAAAAATAAGATATTGAAGATTAAGGTGACTTTTAAAATCAATTGAAATTGAGTCAAGTTAGCTCATTTTTTTTAAATTATGTGTATTATATTATTTTTAATTAAATTAAAATTTAAAATGAGTAAAAATTTTATTTATAATTAATTTCAATTTTGAATTATTTCAAGTTTAAGTTTATTAACCCATATTATTTTAGCTATACTTTTATGATACCAATATAAATTTTCAAAATAGAATGAGAATACAATACAATGAAAATTTAAGTGCAAAAATATAAAGGTACTAATAATAATTAAAGAAAAAAACTTTTATGTCCAAGTCTTACAGAGACTAAAGGATAAATCTTCTTTCGAGGATTTTAAAATTCATATTGTAAGAATATTAATTTAGATCAACAAGTTTATAATCATTCATTTGTTGATAAAGTTATTATTATATGAATTGAGGGAAACAATTTAAACATTTTATTTGAAAGAGATATCATAGTTCATACTTATTTATGAAGACAATATAAAGTTAAATATTATTTGAGTTATTATGATTTCTTACAATATTTTTTACTCTTTTCAAATGGAGAATTAATTGGCATAAAATATCAAAAAAATCGTTTTGAATGAAGGTAACAATAATAAAGTAATAATTAAAAATATACCATTTTTTGTTTAGTAGAAGAAAATTTTATGTAAAATGTGAAGGTAATTATTGTGAATTTAATATTTTTAAAATTATGGTTTGTTTAATTTTTATAAATTTTATTTAGTAAATTTGTTTTCATTACGTATATCACACTCACACACACACACACACACACACACACACACACACATATATATATATATATATATAAATTTTTGCTCAAAATTTTATACTTAAATATAGAAACATAAGGCAAAATTTATTACTTCCATTAGTGATAAAACACTTTAAAATTTTTAATTTTTTATATGTAATTGTACTTCAATAACAAGTATGAAAATATATAAACTAATAATTCAATCAAATCATTAGTAAAACTTATTTTAATATGTACTATATTGTCATGAACTAAAAAATTTGAAAAATATCTTAGAAATGTTGAGTTAATGTATATTATATATATTGATTTAATTTAGTTTTAATACTTGCATTAATATAAAAAAGTTATTATTTTAATTTATTATTACGTGTTAAACTACTAATAATAAAGTAAAAGCATTTACTCATGTTTTTCAACTCATTTATATTTGAACTTTTTCTTCTTTCTTTATTTCTTTACCTTATGAATTATATCATTTACCATATATTGTGATTATTTTTTTTTTGAATATATATAAATCAATGATAACATAATATTGGATAATTAATACCTTCGTAATTAATCATTGAAAACTTAAATATAATCAGTATAATTTAATAATAATCATCAATAACTTAGTAATAAATTAGTAATAACCTAATAGTAAATAAATGATAATTTACTAGTCAATAGTTGATAACTTTTTAGTGAATAAGTAACAATAAAATAATAAATACATAATACTTTAATTGTAAATCAATTTTAATATAATTATAAATGTATAACAAGTATAGTACTAAATCAATGATAACTTAACAAAAAATAAATGATAACTTAGTAGTTAACTATTGATAACTTAATAATAAATTAATGATAACATAATAGTAAATTAATGATAATTCAATAGTAAATCAGTTTCAGTTTAATAATAATTTATTGATCGTATTTGTTCGTTAAAAACTTAAAAGTAAATTAGTATAATTTAGTAGTAAATCATCGATAATATAATAGTTAAGTAATTATAATTTAATATAAAATAGTAATAACTTGGTAATGAATCATAAATAATTTAGTAATAAATCAATGATAATTTTGTGATAAACAATTAAAAGTTCAATAATAAATCAATGATAACATAATAATAAATATATAAAAATATAATAGTAAAGCATTGATAATTTAGTAGTAAATTGGTAACTTAATTATAAATTACTAATAACTTAGCTGTAAATCAATGATAATTTAGTAATAAATTATTTAATCATTGATAACTTTTTTGTAAATCATTAGTAAATTAGTAGTAAATCAGCTATAACTTTATAATAAATCATTAATAACTTAATGGTAAATCACCAATAATGATTGGTAAATCATTAATAACTTAACAACAAATTCTTCATAAATTAATATTAAATCATTCATAAATTAGTAGTACGTTTATCATTTTTAGCTTAATAGTAAATAACTGATAACTTAATTATCAATCATTAATAATTTTTATTATACTTAAAGTTGCCAAGGATTGAACTCTGGGTACTAGCAGAAATGAAGTCAAAACTTTTAGTTTATGGATTAGGATAAACCTACCATGAACATATTTAATAAAAAAATTAGTGAAAAAATTATAAACTTGAATAAAACATTATTATAGAAAAAAATTATCTTGTATATTATTAGTGGATTTTTAAATTTTATGTTTCATAATTGTAAATACATAATATAATAGTAAATTAATTATAGGTTAATAAAAAATAAGTGACAATAGTTAATAATTGATAATTTAATAAGAAATCGATAATAACTTAATAGTAGATTAATGATAACTTAATAGTAAATCAATTTTAATTAAATGATAATTTATCGTTAAATTGATAAATTTAGTAGTGAATCATAAATGACTTAAGTAGATCAATGACAATTGAGTAGTTAATCATTGGAAACTTAAAAGTAAATTAATATAATTTAGTAGTAGTTAATCATTATTACCTTAATAATTAATCAATAATAACTTAATAGTAAATCATAGATAATTTAATATAAATCAATGATAATTTGAAAATGAATTATGGTTAATTATGTAATAAATCTATGATGATTTTGTGGTAAATAATCAAAAACTAAGTAATAAATCAATAATAATATAGCAGTAAATAAAAAATAATAATAGTACATCATTGATAATTTGATATAAATTATTGATAACGTAATAGTAAATCACTAATAATTTTATTGTAAATAAGTGATAATTAGTAGCAAATTAGTTAATCATTGATAACTTTGTAGTAAATTATTGATAAATTAATAGTAAATCAATTATAACTTTACAACAAATCATTAGTAATTCAATAGTAAATTAGTAACAATTTAGTAATAAATTAGTCATAACTTAGTAGTAAATAAATACTAATTTAGTAATAAATTATTAATAATTTAGTAATATATCATTAATAGTTTAGTAGTAAATTGTTGATAATATAATAATAAATCAATGATAATCATTGATAAATTTTTTTTATATTTAAAATTGTCAAGAATTGAATCTTGGTTATTAATAAAAATAGAGTTAGAAATGTTATCTTGAGAAATTAGGATAAATTTATTATAAACCTATTTAATAAAAAATTTTAGTGAAAAAATTTCTAAATTTTAATGAAATAATAAATTATTTTATAAAAAAAGTTATCTTATATTAAAACTGAATCTACGTTTTTTTACAAGAGTCCATTATTAAATATATAATGACACAAAATTTATCAATAATTAGTAAAAATATATTATAAGTTATCAAAATATTATTAAAATTACATTAAGAGGTTACTAAAATTTTATAAAAAATTTATCAAACTTGTATTAATAGTTACTAAAATTATATCATAAATTATTAAAATTGAATCGAAAGTTATAAAAAATTTATTAAAATTAAAATTATATAAAAAATTATCAAAATTTACTAATATTATATTAAAATTAAAATTGAATTATTATTATAATATAAAATTTTATTTATTAAAATAAATTTTTAAAAATAAAAATTACATGTACATCGTACGCGTGCCACGAACTAATCGAATTAAAATACAAATAAGAATCCTTCAACTCAAATATGCACGAAGAATAATTTTCAACAACATACACATGGCTAAAAGGGCCATAGTTGGAGGTTTTTTTATTATTAATAATATGTTTATTGTCCAGGGAAGGATTGCAAATGAGCCAAATTGAATGATTTCCTATGACCCATGCCCTTCAACCCTGTCCAACGCCAGCCAGTTCCAGTGTCGAGGCTTCACCAGTACGCCAGTGGAGACCCAGACACGCCGCCGGTTAATGCGCACAAGTGAAGTTTTTTTCTTCTCTTCCGTTGCCCATTACCATGTAAGCCAAGAGAAATTTTTTTTTTTTTTTGTTGTTGAATCTGCTTGAGGGGAAAAAACAAAAGAAAAGAAAAAGAATGGTTCGTAGATTATCAACTAGATTATTGAATGTTTGCGTAGCTTCATTATGTAAAGCCCATAAATTGGAGACAGCTGAAACTGTTATTATTGATGGTGTAAGATTGGGAGTGCTCCCTGATGTTGTAACTTACAATACTCTTATTGATGCATACTGTCGTTTCGTTGGAATTGATTCTGGTTACTCTATTCTTCATAGAATGGGAGAGGCTGGGATTACCCCAGATATTATTTCTTACAACTCTTTGATAGCTGGTGCCACTAGGAATGGCCAAATAGCTAGGTCTCTTGATCTGTTTGATGAAATGATTCAAAGGGGCATAGCCCCTGATGTTTGGAGTTACAATACTTTGATGCACGGCTTCTTTAAGTTAGGAAAACCAGATATGGCCAACAGGGTTTTTCGGGATATTATACTTTGTGAACATTCGCCTTCTGCGGCTACTTTTAACATTATGATGAATGGTCTTTGCAAGAATGGGTATACCAAGAATGCTTTTATGTTGTTTAGGAATTTACAACGTCATGGATTTGTGCCAAAGTTGGTGACTTACAATATTCTTGTTAATGGATTATGCAAGATTGGTAGATTAGAGTCGGCGAGGAGGATTCTTAAAGAAATATGGGAATCGGGTCATGTTCCGAATGCCATAACTTACACTACTATATTGAAATGCTTTTTTAGGAAGAAGAAGTTTGAAGAAGGGCTTGAGTTGTTGTCGGAGATGAAGTGTAAAGGGTATACCTTTGATGGTTTTGCTTATTGTACGGTTATTGGTGCTCTAATTAAGATAGGTAAGGTAAAAGAGGCGACTGAATTCATGGTGGACTTGAGGAGGACTGGTACTGAGCTTGATATAGTGTCTTATAACACCCTAATTAATATGTATTGTAAAGATGGTAAGTTGGAAGAAGCCTATAAATTGTTGGATGAGATAGAAAAAAAAGGGTTGGAATGTGACAAGTATACGCACACAATAATGATTCATGGATTGTGCAAGGCAGGTAATGTTGAGGGGGCTGCACAACATTTGAGGTACATGAATATGATGGGCTTTGATTCAAACTTGGTTGCATTTAATTGTTTGGTTGATGGTTTGTGTAAAGTCGGTCAGATTGATGATGCAATGAAAGTCTATAAATCAATGGAGGTAAGAGATTCGTTTACCTACTCCTCTTTGGTACACAATCTTTGCAGGGATGGAAGGTACCGTTCTGCAGCCAAGCTACTGCTATCTTGTTTGCGAAGTGGCATGAAAATACTGAAGTCTGCCCAACGGGCTGTCCTGCTTGGTCTTCGCTATTCTGGATTTCCTAGAGAAGCGAAAAAGCTTAAGTCTAAGATCCGCATTGCTCGAATATTAAATTACTGATAATTCAGCCATTATTTTCGATTTTAGTGTTAGAAGTTGGAATTGGTTTTAGTTCAGCTGATTTAATATTGAGGATCATTCTTTTTGGATATAGGTCCTGTTCCGAATAATATGATGTCTCTTTTTGTTGTAAGGTCAATGGCTTTTTGGGGGTGATAAAACTGTAGGCCAAGACAGAGATTAGCAACTCTGAATCAAGCTGCAACTGCTGTGTAATGGGTGCACTGCATACGTGTATCCAGCATAAAAAACTAGATTTTGTGATATGTGCTGCTTGGAAACTCTACTTCTGTTCAAAAAACGTGTAGCATGCATATTCACAGGGGATACATCAATGAAGCTTGTCATGAGATTGGCTGCCTGTCAAAAATAATATGTTTTGCTTAATTTTGATGAAAAACAACTTAAGGCAGTGTAAAAGGTTATGCTCTCAACAGCACCTAAAAAAAAAAAGGGAGAAGGTCGAAGCCAGGGAAGCTGGAGGGTGGGGAGACTAAGTGGTGTGAGAATGAATATGACTTCCTCTAGATTTAATTTCATTTCCCGCCACTTACAAATCTAACGGACAAAAATCAAACTATGATAATTTCTTAAATTTATTTTAATGCACAAGGCTTACCAAATTTTCACCATAACCTTTTGTGAGGTGACAAAAGGCAGAATGGTTTTACGAGTTATAAAGTATTCTCAAGCCTTGCTTCTGTGGTGCTAGGGATGGGACAAACACTCTGAACTAACCCATCAAATCTGCTAATTAGTTAGCAGGAAAAATAATAAAATGAACAACAACATAATATAATACACACAAAAAAAAATGAAGAAAGGACAAAAGGTTAATAGAGTTTTGACTATATTATCCTTATGGTGTTTGCTGCGTATGTTCCTGGACAACCTTAATTCCTACATATGTAAGAAGGTTTAAGGGAAGGTACAAGAGAAAAAGCCAGAAGCATTAAATTTAGAAAAGGAGAATTTGAGGTATTAAAACAAAGAAAGGATCTGACAGTTGATAATTCAAAAATCAGAAGCAAAGCACTTTGAATGTACGGAAGACAACAGGCAGAAAATGTCAATTCTGTTGACCTTTCCATGCACTTCCACACAGCAGAACAAGCCAAACAAAAAGAAAGTTCTGTCTCAAGAAGAAGATTGATTCACCTTTGGTCTCTTAAAAAATGACACAAAGTCATCATCCAAATAACATTGTACCTTCCAGCATCAGGGGTGAACTAAAAAAACCAAAAGACAAAAACAATGATTATCAAATTTCTCTTTCATTGGCAAAATTTAACAGCTAGAAGCATTGAAGAAGACAAGCACATGCATCGGCAATTTGTATTCACGATACACATGATCACTGTATGAATTCGAGGCTCATTCACTACCCGATCAGCAGCAAACCACCCAAACCCACCCCCCCCCCCCCCCCCAAAAAAAAAAAAGAGAGAATATAATTGTTACCAAAAATTTTACTTTGTATCCCTAGGTTGTCTAATCATCTAGTTATCATATCGAGCTTTATGTGCCCAACTCCTTCCCACCCCTTCATCCCCACACCATCAGTTATATCAATTATCCTAGACTCCTCATATCATGATTCAGGTGTCGATGCAAGCCCACATTTAACATGTTTATCTTCAATTTTGTAAGTTTTTCCTAGGAATGTACCCAAGTACCATGCCTGCTACATGGCAGACATCCGCAATTAGGGTGAAGTGAAAAGTTGGAAATACATAGCTTACATGGACTTAACCATAGTTATGAATACTTCAACACATCAACAAGCATGTATCTATGTATGAATAACTGAATATAGTGTAAATATACATTGCTTGTGGGGGGCACAGTAGAAATTAGTTGCCTTGTGCATATCAGAAGCTACAAAATATTCCTGAAACAAACTTTCACGGGCAGCATCTAAGAAATGTGACACTGGCTCAAGAAAATCAACCTGGAATATAGTACAAGGGAGTGGTTAGAAAGCATAGCTATCACAAAGTGAAATTCTATGCAGCTTTATTAATATCATAGCTCCAACTAAATATTACGACACTGATTCATATAATTCCATGAAAGAAAAAAAAAATAGAAACCAGTTATCATGTTTAACATGGAAATTAAAACTAAAGTAAGGGATAACTATTAAGTATTAAAAATCACAAAGGACGCAAATTGCCATGAGAAAATGCAGGTTATGAGCAGAAACACAAATTGTTAAGGATATCCAAATCATAATGTAATAGTTTTTGTCAACGTTTGAATTACTATTTCAATTCGATAGTTTTATTCCCATGACCCCCATTTTGTAGTTAAATTTGACTGCGTGGTATTTCTTGTTGGTGGCGTGGCATGCTAACCATGATTTTTTTTGGCCACAAGCCACACATTAGCACCAAAAAACTCCATTGTTAAAATACTAAAAAGTGCTTTCTAAAGTCTAATAAAATATTAATTATCATTTAATTAAAATAAAATATGATTTCTTTGGACTGATATGTACCACGTGGTCAAAAAATTAATCCAATTCAACATGCCAAGTCATCATAAAAATGCCACATTAAAAATTTGACACTGTTTGTACGTGCCCTTAAATAAACTTTTAACCGTACAGATTAAATTCTTTAAAATTGGAATAGAAGACTTAAAATAACGGAATTGAGATACTAGAAGGACCAAATTGAAACTCCGACCACAATTAACCGAATTGAGCAACCAAGTATGCAGCATTCCACATTAGCTCTAACTTTTAGTTAGCTTCTGATCTGGCCTCTTAACTTTTGTGGAATACCACAATTAACCTTTATAATTTTTCAAATCCCAACCATATCCTCACTGTAGAAAGTTTTTTCTTGACTTTCAATTTATGTATGATAGATAGAATCTGATGGAAAACTAATTTATTGAATCGTTCAGATCTCCTTACTTGTTTTTATTGTTTACAATGGAACTTTTATTAAAAAAAAAAAAAGGTTAATAAAAAGTGGAATTAAGCCCACATCCTTTTAATATGTATAAATAAGACTATAATATTTTATTTTTTGTATAATTATAACCATAAATTGTTAAAAAAATTTTAAAAAAAAAATTGGAACAACTTTTAAGTTGTTATATAACTTAAATTGTTTTACAAAAATGTAATTGAAATAATGGAAGGCTAATTATGAACTTTTACATGTTTGTCAGTAGTGCCAAACAAATGTTAGCCGACAGTTCTTTTCATTGGACCTTTTCATTGATTTTGTAAGTCCATTATTATAATTACAAAAATAAAAGATTATATCTTTATTTACACGTAATAAAAAATTAGGATTTAATTCCATTTTTGGCTAAAATTTAAGGGTATATTTTGAGTATTAAGCCATATAAAAAGATTAATTATTATTCTAATTTATGAAAATTCATTCATGATTATTAAGAAAATAATTATCATCCTAAAATATTGAATATTATAAAATAAATATCTAAAATTTTCACACCATCAAACTTTTATTTGAGCCGATGATTTATAAATTTAATCATTCAAAAGAATTAGATAATATTAATGGTAACATTCTGGATAATTACAAAAAGAAATAATCAAGAAAGACCTTTTATATTTACAACTACAATGTATTCTTACTTTGGAAATAAAAGTTATTTAATTTTAGGCTTAAATATAAAAATTTTTTAACTAAAATTAAATAATCATTTAAATTTTTATTGTTTTATTACAATTAATTAAACATTAAAACAATTATTTTAATTCTATTCAATTTTTTATTAGAAGAAAATTTCTTAAAAACTATCACTAATTTCAATCCGACATCCAATGGAGGATTAAATTGGATGAAAATAAATATTCAAGTGCTCAATTAGATGATAATAAATGTTTGAGCACTCATAATATGATAAGAAATTGGATGATTATTTAATTTTAATTCAAGAACTCTTTTTATACTTAAACCTTAATTAACAATACTTTTTTTAAAAAAGTTAATTAACAGTACTTAATTAAAACTTTAAACTATCAAAATCATTGATAGGCCGTCACAAATAATTAATTGCCTTTGTTTAAATGATGTGGAATTTAGAAAAAAAGATACGTGTAAATTAAATTAAGAAAGAGTGGTTGAATTAAATTTGTAAGAAATTATTTATGGGTTTTGTGATAAATAAAATCTAAATTTGTAGCTGTAAACAGAGAAATTAGAAGTAAGAGCAGCTAATTTGCAAAGTGCAAGAAATTAGAATGAAGTGATATTTGGCAAAATGCATGAACTGAAGCACTCATCTCATTCTACTAAACCAAGTTCAACAACTTGTGAATTCAATACATCAATCATCATCTTTAAGTCAAAGCCAACAGTGACATTGATGTTATCCGTTTTATTTCACCCAAAACTCAAAACTAGCTAGCGACGGGGCTTCTTCATGGATCATTCTCCCGACTCCATCATAATTTAATTATTTAATCCTGCATGCGTAGCCAAAATAGAAGAAAAAAAATTGATTAATCATAGTTTTTACGTGCTACGTATGATGAATGTCAAGCAAGTATTACTCACGTCTCGCAGTTGGTGTTGATGGAGACAGGGAAACCAACTTTGATGTTGCAAGCTTGAGGAATCTTGCTCAAAAACCTGTCCTGAATTCGGAGTGATTTGGCGCCAGACTTCAAGCATCGGCAGATAGCTTTCTTATCATCAACGGATTTGACAGTTTGAGCAAGCTGCTGCAGTCCATTGCAGCATTTAGCTGAGGGCTTAGCATCCTTGCCTGTTGCAAATCCCACGCATGCCGCTGCCTTGGCATCCACAGCGGGACATGGAACAGTAGCCTCACCAAGGAAGAAGAGGAATGAGAGCAGAAAGAGCATGGACAAGAATAGGTTCTTCATATTTGCTTGTCTGTGAACTTTGCTCGTCTGATGTTGCAGGCACTTAGGATGATGGAAATTGAGTTGGGCATGATGGATTTAAATAGTGAGTAGAGAAGATCAGTTAAGTCATTTTCTTGCTTCGGAGAACGGGATGAGGTTTGTATTTCCAATGAGATAAAGCTCAATTTATGACACCAAAAAAAAAAGGTTTGTAGCTAGCAGGTTGCTTACGACCCAAAACCATCTCACAATTTTTTGCCTAACTTGAAAAAATGGGATTCTCATAAAAAAATTCTCAATAATGGAAATTAAATAAAGAGATGTGACAATATATATCTTATCAATCTTGGTCAAAGCCAAATATGTCATTTACACATATAGAATTACCAACATGCAATGCGAAGATTCTAAAATCCCATTCCTATTGCATGCATATAGCTATGGTGTGGATGAGATCATAACCCAGGGTTTACTCATCAAAACCGTCGAATCCATTTTCCCCATACACACTAAAAATTTATTTTTTTTTCAAATATGTACATTTCTAAGTGAAGTGTCATAAGAATTATTAGAAAGTTTTTTATTAAATATTTTCATTTAGTTAACAAGAAAAAATAAATAAATCAAAGGTGTTAGATTTTAGTTTAGCGCTTGCTTATATATATGTCAGTTCTATTGATACACAACAGAATTTACTTCGAGGCATTATACTCCTTGTTTTGTGAGCCATTAGGATGAGGCATTGTGTTAGTATTTGTGAAAGTAACTTACCCTACATTTGCATAACATGACATATATATATATATATATATATAGATAGATTAATCCGAATTTGATCAATCTCATTGGGAAACACAAACCTCTCTTAGCCCGATGCTTGAAAATGACGTATAAAATGACAATTTAAATCCATCACCCCCTACCCAATTTTCATCAATTTAACTCAACGTTCCATACAGTTTGACAGACAAGCAACCATGAAGATTCCTCTTCTTCGTTGCCAACCTTAGGAAGGCAGCTGTAGATGCTAAGCCCTCTGCTGTGATCTGCAGCAGCTTGCTCAAACTTTCAAATCAGTTGATGATAACAAGACTATCTGCCGATGCTTGAAGTCTACCAATATCAAAGCAATGGATGAAAGTTCAACGAAATCGTACAGTTAGCTGCTATAAACCAATATGACAATTTAACATTCGCTAATACTTTATTTAAAAAAATTTTAAATCAAAATGCAAATTTTCAATCACCAAGGAATTTCCTGACCATCCCTCGGAAAGAACTTGCCATTACCCTGATGTTTTGTATTGTTTTAATGATGTTCATGAGCTAGATCTTTCTTCCCTGCAAATTCAACTGAAATACTTTCCGTCACGGCATGCGTCAAGTCAAACAGCATTATCTGGCAATGAAGCAAGACATAAATTCAACAAAACTTATTTGTCTATTCAGATCTACACTATGATGGAAGTTGACTCAAACCTTTGTTCATTACATTATCAGTTTGCATTAAAAAAAAAGAAAAAGAGGGTGGGAAACGAGAGGAGAAAGGGTATACAAGTGTATGATTTCCATGGTGAAAGCAACAGATACAATGACCATTTTTCCGATGGTTTGTTTATATTCATTGTTGAAGCCTGGCAGAAAGAAATGTCATCCTACAGAGACTTGAGAGGAAAGAAAATCATACATTGATTAAGTGTAGCCTTTGATGAACGATAGGAGTGCCAGGCCCCTACACGATTGTCTCCGATGGAACCGACTCTGGACTTAGGTTGGCCACAACTGCAACATCCCTTTCAGTGCCAAAACCTCCTTCAGGTTTCAGAAGAGGCCACATATGCTGTCAGCAATATAACAAACGGGAATGTCCAATATATTGTCAATCAACTCCCATTAAGATCAAAGGAAAATGAATAACTCCAATTCAAGCATAACATCCAAAAAATATTCCAATAATGCATCAATTGCAACATAATGCACGTTGCATTTGAAAACACTTGTGCAAGGAGCCACTTGCGTCAAAGGAAAACATCCAAGTTATATTTAACAGAAAAAGTGATGCACATAACTCTCCTCATGTTAGCAGCTAACAGTCTATCCACCATGAAATCATGTAAAGCTTCTATCCCCATTTTGCTCAAAATATGATTAATTCCACCCCTGCCTACCGAACTTTAAATTTCATTTAAATAACTGAACTTCAACCTGTAAAACTTTGTACATGCTTAAATTTGCAATATAAATCAATATGAACATTCAGTTAGCATTTGTAAAAGAATTTGACAGAAATGAGAAAACTGGATATACCCACAAACTGCTTTCTGGACCAAAACATTCTGACATGTACAATAAGCAAACAATCAATTTTTTTGCCTGGAGGCAGTTCTTGTCTGCCTCCTGCGCTCCTTTTATCTATCTAAAACCCACCCTTCCTTCTCTCTATATTCTTTGATTCTCCTAACTTCAGCTTCCCCTTTCTATCTCTAGACTCATGCTTATTCTCTCTTCTCTGTAAAGGAAAAAAATACAGATTCTTATCAAAATTAAAAACTTGAAGCCTTGAATTTTTGGGACCGCAACAACTTCTTTGTCCAGTAATCCAAAAGTAATATATACATACATACATACATACATATATATATATAGCAAGTCCATCTTAAATCTTTTAATCCATATAACAAAAAACTCAATTAGTAAAAATCTAGCACAAACTGGATTGTTGGGAGAGAGACATGGAAAATTGAGAACACTTTTAATAGCAATGCAAAAAGAAAGGTTTGATAGTGGGTTCGTTTTTTTTCTTTTTATTATTATTTTGTTTCATAGAAAGGGGCAGCACCAACCACCCTCCAAAAACAAGCACAAGGAGAAACCAATTAGTAAATAAATTAACTTCCTGAATCTCTCACCAAACAAGACAGTGGAGTAAAAAACAGAGCATAGAAAACAATAGATAAACGACCATGAAGAAAACACACTCAAATCCTTGAGGAAGGACCAGGTGCACATGCATTAACTGAAAGTTTACCAAGGAAGACGAGGGTGATGGCAAACAATACTTAAGGCAAGCATTTCTGTCATACAGGTGTCACCAAATTTCCAAGAGCCATGATCATTCTATTGATCAACCCAAGCTGGAAAGAAAATACGAAATTTTTAACACAGGACCTTGATATCGGAGAATTTTGAGAAGAAAGAAACCAGAGAAAAAGAGACGAGACTCTTCTTTTTAGTTTTTGCTTGATGTTATAGCCTGGATCATTTAGCCTATAATAAAATAAGGTGACTGCTAGATCAGATTCTAAGTTTGACATTTTCACTTATTATTAATTAATTTTAAATTAAATATTTAATATGATATTAAAATAATAATTTTTTATTATTATTCTTTTCTAATCTATCATATAATATTATTTTTTTATTTCTACCTACACGTGATGTCTGTTAAAATATTATTATCTTATATATAATAAATATTTAAAATTTTTATAATTTTATATTTAAATTAAATTCTCTATTTATTGTCAATTAATTTTAAATTAAATACATAATATGTTTGGAAGGTCTTTGATGACTTGTTTTAGAATTGAAAAGTTTGAACCTAATTTTGAGGTTTCCTTGAGATTTTGAAATGTACTCTCAATTTAAAAATTCTTGGATTATAGTCCGATTCTTTGATCTTGACTGACATCGAGGGACTTGAATCATATTTAGAGATGATTTGATCTCGGTTCTCCTTTAAGGACTTGATTCCTATCTAAGGATTCCGGGATCTTGAAGCTTTGATCTTTATATCTTCCTTCTTGGATTTATTTGTTAAAATTCAAGAGACTTTATTTTAAGATATTTGATCTTGAATTCGTAGATGCTTTGGAGACTTTGATTCTTCGTATCTTCGTTCTTCAAGAATTTCTTTCTTGATCTTTTTATCTTCATTTTCCAAATTAAAATTATGTACTTAATCCTCAAATCTTAATTTTTGTAGTTATGGGAGCTCTGGCTTTTTTTCTCTCAGAAAACCGCATATCCTTTAAACTGTAATCACTTTAATAGAGGAAAAGAATAGTCCAAAGTTCTATCATCTTAACACACCGATCAGATGATGATAATCACAATGGGCTGATACTGTACTCATGATTTTGAAAAGAAAGAAATGGAAAACTTGCCTCTCTGCATTTTATACTTTTGACGTACCAACATTTTAAGATTAGTAAATTAATTCAAAAGATTGAAAAATAAAATTGTAGTCACCCATCTTTATAAAAGTATTAGTGATTCAGCTACTCAAACGGTAAATATAATTTTCATTTGACATTCTATATCTTCATATATCTGTTTAAAGATACATATTCACGTCAACTGTCTTGTCGCCTTATCATACCATCTGGGATTTCTATCAAACTCTACCATTGTTGTCACATATATATATCACCACGAATCAACTACAATTAGTATTAAGATGTTGAATAATCAAATCAAGAAAAGAGAAACATTTATACGATATTTTTTTTTATGATTTGTTTCTACAGCTACTGATGTGAAAAGGTTAATAATGAACAACCTAGGCTAAACTAACCAGTTCAACTTCTGCCTTCGTCTTTCTTCAATAGTGCAATATAGTGAATCTACCCCAAAAGCACAGCTTCAAAGGATTTACAAGAACAAGGCCAACTCCATCTATATATGATGCACTAGGAATGATCATATATGCTATTTTCAAAAGCGATTAATACTTGACAAAGAGGAATCCTTTTAAACTATATGATGACTCAACCTGTTTTATTGCCAATTTCCAACATTGGAAAGGATTTGCATTTCCATTTCCAATTTGCTATGAATAATTTACCTGCAGAAAGCATCATTTTCAGCTACCTTTGCAAAGGTTTCCGAAAATATTGTGCGGTTCTAGTAGATTGATCTTCAGATACCTCTAATTGAGTTGGCAAGAGGTTGAGAAAGCTCCCCTTTGTCGGGGGATCAGGAGGTCCTGGTGTGTCTGCAAAATGGGAACAACACAAGCAGGCAGGCAAGCATTCAAGAAGAGACTCCAAATGAGAAACTAACTACAATTAGTTAACAGTAAAAGTGAACACAATTACCAAACAATGACTTCACAGAAGGTCTCTTAGGTGCATTGCTTTTCTTCTTCAACTCAACTGCAATCATACACATACAACTGTCAGCGGTTTTCAACGGAGAAAAGATGGTATTAAAACATGGCACCTAAAAAGCAGGTTGTGGCAACTGCTTTCTGCAATTTTTTATTGCATGGTTATTACAACCATGATATTACTACTAACATTGCCACTAATAGAACTACTATAACTGCTAATGCAAAAATTAATAATAATAGTAACAAGTTTTTCACTGGACCAAAAAGGAGGAGGAATAACTTTTAATGACCCAAAAAGGTTGTAAAAATGTTTCTTTTTCTTGCATCTTGTCTCCATTATTACTGCATTATCATCATCATAATACTATTATTATATTTTGGTTTGTTTTGCCTTATTTAAATACATCTTGCTGTGAAAACATTGGTAAAGAGATAAAGATCATGTGCATATAAGAAAAGCACATTTACATAGCCTACAGTCGCTAAGTTACAATATATGATATGATCTTTCAGTCAATAAATACTATTGGATTTACTACACTGTGATCTTCTAAAACACACATACAAAAAGTGCAAAAAAAAAAATAAATAAAAAGCAAAATAAAAGAGTACATACCACATAGAATTTGCATTTATACTAAACCTATTAATAAATAATATTATTAACAATTTTGAATCCTAAAAAAATTATTTTATCCACTGTTAGTAGAGTTTTTAGATTTCACAAGCGAAATTAATAGGATGTCATTTACCCCTTTGGGTATATTAAAAAAATTAAAAAACTCATTAAAAAAAGAAATGAGACAATTGCCAATCTCCTAACCCTGCCTATGGAATTAAAAAATTACAGTAACAGTGTATCAAATACTAACTCCCTTAGTATAATTTTGAATCATATCAAGCAATGAACCAAAAAAAAGGTCAATTTTCTTGTTGATACTAACCAATGCCTGGAAGATGATGCTCATTGACAATCTCAACATTCTTGTATGTATAGCCGACAAAATTTGCATCCTTCGATGAAAGCATCTGCGGTTTACAGAAAAGAAAAGTGAAAGATCCATCAACTGTTACATATAAATAAACTGGTGGAAAAGTTGAGCTGTGCACAGCCCAATTGCTCCTAAAAAAGGAAATATCAAGTACAAATGCATGTTAAGTAAAGGAAGGGGTGCACAATATAAATCTTATAGGATGAGTTTGATACAAAAGATGACAGAGACAATAAGATAAAAACTGTAATATACAAAATTTGGTATTTACTTGAAAAGAGGATCTGATGGTATGAGGATTACTCATTCTTTTAGAACAAAATGGACAAGATTACTGAATCCTATGGGATAAAATTATAGGATGGATACCCAATCATTAAATATTATTTCAATATTTCCTATTTTTTCTTCAAAAGCAGCATTTTCCTTCAAATTTTTTTAGCCTGCAACGTATAGGTGGGATAAATTTGACCAATGATAAAATTGTCATCTTATTATACAATCAATTGTATCTACATCAGATAATGGCATTGGTTAAGAAATTATCCTATCTTTTAATCTTCTATACTAAAATACAAGATACTATAAGATCACCTACTCCTATTCACTCTTTTATCTTTATCCTATCCAGCTCTATGTACTAAATGTAAACAGAATATGATATATACAATGGATCAAAAAATGGAGAGCGAAAATAAACATAGCAGCAATTTTCATAATGCAAAACAATTTCAAGAAATTAATGACAAGGGCATGTAGGCATAATGACCATAAAAAGCCTAAATTTTGGTCATATGCTTACCACTTATCAGCAGTTTTCATTCAACTCAACATCTTTTCAGTAAAGAATTACTCATAATTGTACTCTAAAAGCACCAACATGGTAGTATACGTAGCTTTGACATTGTGAAAAATACCAAAAATATGTACATAAGTGAAATGAAAATTAAGTCCAAAGTAAAACTAGTCAACAGGGAGATTGATGCAAAAATTATTAAGCTACCTTTCTCCAGGGACCTGATTTTGTCGAAGTTTGTACTTGAGCCCCCAACTGTATATGCAAAAATAAATGAACATATTGTTATAAAAAAAAATGGGCGGAAAACGAAAAAAGGAAACAGCAAGAGAAATTAACGAAACGTGAAAGGACTATTAAGGCATGCATCAAGCAGAGAACGATCAGCTTTGATGAAGCTAGCAATTGGGTACAAACACACAAGTCATGCATCTCTGACAAAGTTTCACACACCTTTAGACAGAAATAACATGATCAATTTACAAAAATTTAATGGAAAATTTGCTTCATGTCTTTTTTGTATAGACCAAGGTTAATATCGTACCACAAAACATTTCTATTTTCCTTTAAAAAAATTATATATACCGATACCGATTATTTTAGCATATTATTTTGGATTTTCGGTTTAATACAAATATATTTATAAATATACATGAATTTGTACATAATAATACTACTAATAAGATGCAAACTAAATATACAATATTGTTCAAAACCAAATAAATAAGTTTATAGATATAACAAATAATATCATCAATTTATCATGATATTTTTAAACACTTAATCTGATCATATGATATTAAGATATTAAGATAGAAACAACGAGATGAAAAAGAAATTAATTTTAACTTTAACGTTTTTAAATTTTAGAAAGAGAGCACAATTACTTTCTTGAAAGAGATTGAAATATTTATGAACTTTTATTTGGAAAAATAAAGTGTAAAAGAAAATAAATTGCATAAAAAATAGAGAAACCCAACTTTCAATGCTTATTTTGTTCATCAGTTTTATTTTTATTAGGTTAAAAATAGTTAAACAACAAAATACAATTTAAAATTTATAAAACATGTTTCAGATTTATATAACAGCCAAAACAAGCTATTCCACTGAAATTCAACGAAACCAATCGAAACCAACAAAAACAACCGATATTACTAGGTATCAAGTCCTGTACGAAAAGCCACCCTTAAGAATACCGTATTTAGGCATAACTAAAATACACTGGCCGGTACAGCCAGTAACAAAACAAAATTAACAACTTTGATACAGACGCCATGAAGTTAATAAAAGAATTAATGAACATTCTTAAGAGTGCAAGAGGCTGCAGTCCTTCACCAACTATCCAAGTTGGAGAGGACAGATCATTACACTCATAAGAAACTATAATAACAAATCCCTCATCGGGCATCAAAATGTTGATCATTGTTCATAAATGACAGCTATTGTTGCTTTAAAGAAATTATCAGACAGCAATGCCTTCAATGGCTTCAAGCATTCAGAGTCGTAATGCAGAAAGACTTAACCATTGAGTCCCAATAACAAGAACTTCTAAAACCTCAAATGGTAGTTATAATTTATAACTTCATGGAAAGAAGAGTCATATGTTTCAAATTGCAAAGGTAATAATGTTCTTACAACAAAATTGTTTGGTCAAAGATTTGATATCACACACTAGTTGAAATCTGATCATATGCACCATTTTTCTTCTTTTTTTTTTTTTTTTTTTTGCCTCTAAATTATGCTTCTTATAGTCTACCCTAATTTAAATCACAAAGTATTGTACATTTTGTCCACCACATAGAAAAATAGGCTCAATGCCCAATTAGGATCAAACATTTGCAAATCTTTTGATCGATGATAAATCATATTATTTGATCAATTAAGCAGCTCAACTTACCAATTTTGATTATTTTAGGAAATTGACAACAGAAATTTAACTTTTTAGTCAATATCAAAAATGGCAGCCATGTGGCATATTTACATGGCTAAAAGTTTATATGACGCAACTAAGCCAGATTTTGCTTTTCCTTTGCTTTTTCTTTCATTCATTTTCCCTTTTCTCGGCCACCAATGGTGGTCATTGGAATACCATGCCAGTCATGGCTTACTAGCACTAAAGGAATAGATTCAGATAGGTGTTGGGGGGGGCCTGATTTGGCCCAGCAGAATCTGACCCATAGCACCAGGCTAAAAAGTGTCTGGGGCTAGATCTGAACCCAGGGCATCAGACCAGCAATTCAAGGACCAGTTACTGTGCCAAGAGATACTAGTTGAGGTAAGATTGGGCCCTAGTGTGCCACATGGCACTGGCAGGTGCCCAATCTGGCCTCGTCACACCAGGCTGAAGCAAGCAGAGGCTAAACCTAGCCCTAATTCATCAAGAAGGCACTAGCCTCCTACACAGAAACATCACCAATGTCCAGCTGGCAACACTGCTGGTGGAATGGAAAAGGAAAGAAAAAAATGAAGGAAAACGAGAAGATAAAACAACTAAGCTGTCACATATCAAAATCTTACCACGTATGCATGACATGTGTAATTTTTTGTTAAATGGCAGCAGTTCATTAGATTAACAGCACATTCAAATTTCTGTTAGCAATTTGCCTTAATTAATCAAAATGAATTATAAATTTATCATAATAAAATGTTAGAACCTTGATTTAAAATTTTCACAAACTTTAAATCCTAATTTGAGTATCTAAATGGGAAAAACATTATATGCATAGACATCAAGCTATAATTCTCAACGTGAAGCAAAATTTCTCAACAATAATAAGATTCATGAGACTAGTTTGCCAGTCCAATTCAAGTATAATCCATATATGCTGATAATGAATCAAAACTAAGAATTTCTAGCTTAATATCACCCAAATTATTGACTACATGTTGAAAGATAAATAGAATTTCAAGTGCATAAGGAGATGTGAAGACTAAACCACTCAAAAAAAGGTTTAACATAGAACAATTTCAACATAACCAAAGCATTTTCCTACTACATGTGATCAGATGCATGGATTGAATTATACCAGAGTAACCTAGTAAGATAAACCTTTACTACTAACCTCCTCAAACTTTTCAAAGTTCCGAGTATCTAGTTCACTATTAACCTCTGGTATAAAAGCAGCTTCCATGTGATATAACCTGTCCCATTCAATGTCTTTGAACCATGGGTGTGCCTGAAATGATGAACTCCAGATTAGGATATACGATAATAAAACATATATCACCTTTGCACTCAATAATAAAGGGGGGAAATGATCAATCAATTATTCTGACCTTTATTTCATGCGCTCCTTTGGTTCCAAGCCTCAGATCAACATTGCAAAGGAGTTTACAAATGAGATCTTTAGCTTCAGCAGATAACTTGGCTTCTTCAGGGAATTTCAAATGGGTTCTCCAGTTTACAATCTGCATTGATAAACTGACCCTTTGTATAATTTATAATATATAAAGATCAAACACTAGTTTTGAAACTGTTGAGAAAGGCATACACACAATTATAAGTAGCAGAAGAGGAAAATCATGAGTTTGTTCACCATTGTCAATCTAAACAATAAAACCACTGAGACAGGTTAACCAACAAGTTTACTGGAAAGTTTTAAACACATATAAGAAAACAGAAAACCAAAGAGTAGATCACTAGATTGAAAACAAAGTTTTGAGCAGTTATATTGATGCAAAAGGCAACTGTAGTAGTCTTGTATTTGCCAAAGGATTACAAATCAAAAAAATTTGGTGATTGTATATATTCTTACAAAATCTAGGGCACTAGGAATCAAATCAAAATGCTGACAGCAGTTTCCAGTAACCACAAGATTTTAGGCTCTTTACATGCTTCAAGTGTTAGTTTAGCAAACAAATCCATGAATAATCATTGCTTGTGTTCAGAGCAGCTTTCATCCTTTGTTGCCTAGAGCGTGTCAACCTTCCCTTCTTAAAGACACGGGAGCATAAATTTTCATTCTGTCACCAATAAAGGTCATAATTCCTGATGCATCTTAACATCATCATTATCAGAAAGAAAATGTACCTTTGGATTTGAGTGCTTTGCTCTAAAGACAATATTCAAGTCCATAAAGAAAGTACAGAGGGTCAATACATTTTCAATCAGCTCCGCTTTAATTTGCACTCAGGTTCACTGAGCTTAGATTTGCAGAGATATCTCCAAAATCAAAATTAACTCTAATCCTATATTATCAAGAACAAGATCATAGTGGCAGATTTAATGTTTGAGTTCCAAGTGTTACTACTAACTTTAATTTCATGTCTGGACATAACACTAAATTAACCTTACAAGCACAATTAATTAAAAAAAACTAAATATTAACATAATAAGCCTGCCCAACAAGGAAAAAAAGGAGAGAGAGAGAAAGAGAGAACAAGGTTCAAATAGCATCCAAGAACTAGAAGCACATCATTCATCAACCATGTCTAACACAATTTCAAGGAAATCTTCCCGACCAAGGTTCTTTCCTAAGCGGTAATAAACATAGAGACAAGTTTTCCAAAATAAATTTAGCATTATAAAAATTAACACATTTCCCATGCAGTACAATAAGGTTTCTTCGTCCATTCAGGAGTTAAAAAGCCTAATCTTTTGACAATTGTAGTTATTTAGGTTCATCATACAAATGTTACAGACCTTGAGAAGAGAGTAGATCTTCTGTGATTAAGTTCAAAAGAAGCATCTCTGACTTTAAGCACACTATCTCAAACAGTTATAGATAAATTTCAATGAAATGATATAAATCTACCATCAATTCTTTTTCCCAATGAATAGCCAAGCTTGGCTCTATTTAAGAGAGTTGAGGTTTAAGGTTGAAATTACATTTCCTTCCATAGACTTCCTCATATGTAGCAAATAAACAAAATATATCTGAGTAAGCTATGTTTAGAGAAAATAAATCACATGACTCTTCCAGACTGGAAGTTCATAAATGAAATTGACAAAAAAAATCATATTCCTTTCAGTTTGAAATAATTCATGCCAGAACATGGATATTACGATTCATCCTTTTCAGATGCATGGTTCTATTTATTGCATCATGTGGTTCACTTATCAGAAATGCAGACACATTTTGCTAGTCAGTCTTTTCCAGGTGGTCACTTTTAAGATCATCTTAATGCCATCAAAGTCATAAGCAGAAGAGGCTTAGAATAAATATTTAGTGAAAAAAAGGCAAGAATATTTCCCTTGTTCTTTTCCAGGCTAATCAGTTATGTACTTAACAATCTTTGGTGCCTCTGAATGCAGAACATAGCAAAGTTTTGACAGATACATTCATTATGCCCATCACTTCATTTACTTGCTCACTATGCATCAACAGAGAGGTAATAGCTGAATCTTAAAGAATATCTGATTTTCATTTGTTCTAAAAACTTTATAATATGCATATCTAAGCATACAGAATGATATTCACGAAGTGAACAACTTCACTTACCTTTCTACATGTCGACAAAGGTTCTTCAGAATAGAAAGGTGGATATCCTACAAGCATCTCAAACATAATTGCCCCAAGAGACCACCTAAGAGAGAATCTTTCAGAATATAAGCACAAAGAATATTAAAAAAATGTAATAGGTAAGACAATTGACTAACCAATCACACTCCATCCCATATCCTCTCTTCAACAACACTTCTGGGGCAATGTAGTCAGGTGTACCAACTGTTGAATAAGCCTATATGGAACATGCAAAACCATTATTAAAAAAAAAAAAAAGTCAAAACATGAAAAGTGTCTTAAGAAGATGAATATGATAACAAAAATGGAATATAGAACTTTAATTTTTAGGAAAGAAAACATTTAATCCATGAAGCACTGTTAAGCAGTATTTTTTTCAGTTTCAGTAAAAACGAAATAGTTCAGCTTTTTCCAGCAAACAAGTTGTGTTAGTCTATTAAAGAAAAATATGCCTGCAAGTTGTAATAAATAAAAAAAAATACAAAGCACACACATGCAACAGAAATATTTTTATTCGTGCTAGTTTTCTATTGCTTCATGGATCACGATTAAATGAAAGAACCAGGATGAGTAGTATCTATTATGAGTCTGCAGAATAGATAGAATCAAAACATATTGTGGATCCTAATTATCTTATGCATGGGACTTGTTTGCTATCCTGTAAGGGGGAGAGAGAAAGAAACAAACCAAAGGGCCCCTTTACTGCATGGGTTTCATTCTTTGGAAACCCACGAGCATAGATCCAATACACCAAAAATAACTAGCATGCCTTTGAGTGGTTAAAGGGGCCCACAAACAGAGGTCAAATTGAAGCAGATTTAAGATTTTCCTATACCAATAAAAGCACATTTTGCTAGCTTAAGATGCCAACAACAGTCTGCTAAAAGCAGGAAATACAAGTCCTGCACCTCCGTATTTCAATCGGAAAACAAGGAACAAAACAGTGTCCAATCTTAGCAATCAACCAAAGCTTCTTTACAACCTATAGACACCATTTGTGGATGTAGAAAGCATACCAATGTTCGCCTATTCTTTTGCCAATGTAACAACTGCTCCTGTTGTGTCCGCCTTGGTGCAGAAGGAAGATTAGACCGTTTACCACTCTCCATTGACGGTTTAAAGGTTCTCACCCCTCCATGGTCATCCTCTCTAAGGTCTGGAAAGCTACTACTATCAAGGGGTTTACACAATCCAAAATCCAAGAGCTTCATATGGCCATTACAGTCAAGCAATAAATTATCAGGCTTGATATCCCTACAAAGAAAAGACAAAGAATATAAAAATGTTATGAAATACATATCTTTTTCTTCTTTTTTCTTTATTTGTATTTCTTCAGCAGGAGAGGAGGGAAGACATGAAGAATATTCATTCCAGAAATACATAATTATCATGCTTGAATATCATATGGTATACCAGTAAAATGCAAAAATTGGTCTACAGTGCAGTAAACTACTTCTTTTATGTATGCTATAAGTAATACAACAACAATCTAAGCCTTATATCCCATAACTCTGGGGTCGACTGTATGAAAGGTCAAAAAAAAATGTCAGAGAAAACTAACAATGAGGAAAATACCACACATGAAGCATGGGAGAACTGTAGATTGTCTAACCCACAGCTGAAACATATCACAAGGGAAAATGCTCAAGAAAGATAGTAAACCTGTGGACATAATTGTGCTTGTGGATGGATTCAATTGCAAGAACTGTTTGGCCAACATAAAACCTCGCCTCATCCTCAGTTAAGATATCCTTCCGCATCAGTAACGTCATCATGTCACCCCCAGGGAGATATTCCATTACAAGATACAAATATTCATCATCTTGAAACGAGCAATAGAGCTTGACAATGCATTCACTGTCAACTTCAGCAAGGAGATTCCTTTCTGCTTTAACATGCTCAACCTGGACAGGGGCAAAAAGTACAAATGTAAGGAGAAAGTGCCTTCATAATTCAAAGCAATACTTAACTGAATATCCAATCTTTTAGACTCGCTTTTATATTCCTTCTCTTCTCAATCTAAACCAGTTTCTGACACCTTTAAATGCATATTTTACAGCACATTCCAATATCAGAATAAAGAAGGTTGGATAAAGTATGCAGCAATTTTTTCTATCTTAGTAAAACTTTGTAATAGGTTCTGGGACGCATTGATCCTTAGAAAGGTAGAATAAATAGCAATTTGTGTAACCAACTGGCAACCATAAAATTATCTGGCCTTACTGAGCTAATATTTCTTATTACCAATGCAGCCAGTTTCATATATTAACAGTACAGCAAAGGAAATAATCATCCCTCATCTTGTTTGGAAAATGAGAGCAAAAAACATTAGCAGCAATTTTGTGCTATTACCACTGTATCCCAATTTGACGAAATTACTAAAATAAAAATATTGCAGAGTACGGGGAAGATCACAAGTTGAAATCATTGAAGTAAAATACTCTGAACTGATCCTCCCAATTTGACGGAATTTAAAAATGTGAATTTGAGAGAGGATCTGGCAGTTTTTTGTTTCTCCCCTCCACTAATAGAAAACTCTCAAACAGAATAAAGTAAAACCTTTTACTCCTCTCTACTTCTCTCCTTCAAAGGAAATGTAAAGGAATCAGGAAAACCATCATGAACCAAACAATACCTGGCCTCTGCGAAGCATCTCTGATTTCTGGAGCTTTTTCATGGCATACACATTGCCGGTAGCTTTTTCTTTGCAAAGTCTTACCTGCATGATGACAGAAGACATCTACCATAACCAGAAATGAAAAAATAATTTAAAGAAGTATCATGTACTTTGCCATTAAACAAGAAAGAAGAAAATGGTGGATGCAAGGATTCTAGAGCTAACAATACTTACCACTAGGTGGAGATGCATATCGGAGAAATTTGAATATTATATGGATTGCATTGCAAAGCATAAATAAATCACTAACTACTATAAGAAACAATATTTCTGACAAAATAAAAGTAAAATTCAAATAAAAAAACAACAAAAAAAGAAGAGCAAGACCTCCCCAAATGCACCCCTCCCTATAATAGTCAGAAGTTCAAAGTCATCAACACCCATCTTGTGTCTTTGAAGTCGCATGTATTCTGTTTCCTTTTTCTCTAAGAACTTAAGCATATTCATTTGCTCCTCTGCAGTAAAGTCAGCATCAGCAAGTTTCCTCTCTAACATCCAACGTCTATATTCCATAGAGATAATTGTTAGAAAAGAAAATGAGAAGTTCAACATAAATGATAAAATATGAAGAGAAACAATAATGAAATATAAATGTTATTCTTTATAAAATAGAAATCGATATAACACTATCGTATTACAGTGCAAAAACAATCTAGTTTCAGTAATAAATAGAAAGAAATTATTTAAACAAATGAAACACACAAGGAGACTGAAACATCTTACAAAGTCCACTTGCTTAAAACCCTTTAAGATACATATGATATGAGATTAACCCACCATAATTCATTTGCATCAAAACATAAAATATCTAAACAATGCAACTAGTACAGATATCAGAGCACAACATATCTTTTGCAAAAGTAATTCAAGTTATGCCATGAACTATCAATATGCAAGGCAGTCTGATCAAACAAGATGTGATAAGTTAATGATAGCATTTAGCAAATTACCTCTCCTTTCTGTCTTGCAAATTCTTCATCTGAGCTTTATAGTGGTTCTCGATATACTGCTTGGCAGCGGCAACCTTCTGATTGGTGGCAGTTGAAGGAGCCCCAGCCCCGTCGATGGGAGGCTTATGTGCATACTTTGCATTTTCTATATCTTTCTTTTTCTTTGGTGAATTTTGTACTTTGTCATTCTTTTGTTGAAATTTCTTAAACCAACTCCTTGCAGAATCCATTATCAGCAAACCCAATCACAACATCAACTCTATCCAGAAATCTAAAAAATTATAAACTAAAAGTAAAAAAATCTATAACTTCAAACCCAATAAATATTTATTTTACGATTGAATTATTTTCTAAATTTGAATCATACTAGCATTTTTCAGTTACATACTTCAAAGGTTAACCAATAAACGGAAATAAATAAAATAAATATTTCAGATTCATATAATGACATATTGATTACTCTATTGAATTCCCTATAAAGCCTTCCCCATAACGGAATTATATCTCAAAAATTCCAATAAAAAATTTTGAGAAAAAAAATTCAATTAGATTGAAAATTTTACCTCAGAAAGTAAGAGAAGATTTTCCACTCACCTCTGAAGTATAACGACGAAAACAGAGTCGTCTCTCTGTTTCACTTCAACTGGAGTCAAAATCCCCCTTGCAAACAGGATGTGTAAAAATCTAATTAAATCATTTTATTTAATTGGATGTATTGAAATTACCAGAGTCTCCATCTATAATAGTGTTAACAGCGGATCAAGGAGGGCATTATTGTCAATAGGAGATTTAATTGTCCCTTAAAGATCGTGCAGGTTACGATGGAGTTGCGGCCGCTTTAACGGCGGACCACAAACCGGTGATACTACCGGTATTGAAAGCAACGAGACAAACAGTAAGAGGTCAGAGAGGGGAAATTAACCGGCACGTGGCAGTCGATTACGGGCCTTAGCCGGCTAACGTGAAAGCACGATTAAATGATTTGCCACGTCGGGTTGACATAAAGGCGCGCAAAATGGAATTAACGCGTTTTTAAGTGCCAAACAATCTTGACGGTACACGTATTGCGAGCTTCAGGATAACCACGGTTCGGTTTTAAGGGTTAGAAACCGTGTTGGAAATTTGACCATGCTTTAAAGAATTTCAGCTACAGCCTACTAATATATTCGATATCATAATCTAGAACATAATTCGATAATATAACATATTATCATAAATACATATCTTTAAAGCAAAATCAATTTTAGACTTGATAATTTCATATATAATATGATGATGTGATATAAAAATAATATAAAAAAATAATATATATATATATTTTTTTTAAAAAAATACATTTTATATTTATTTGTATTAACATAAATTTAACACACTTGTATCAGGTTAAAATTCGCGTTAATATGTTTAAACATGTGACATAACATGAATAATATATTTAATTTAATCTTATTATATCAATACATATTTAATACGTTTAACATATTTTTTATATTTATTTTAATTTAATATAAACATATTAAAATTATTTTAATCTTTAATTTTTTAATTATGATACTTAATTTGCTATTTAATATCATATAAATTTTATTTTAAACATTTAATTATGATATTCATTTGTTAATTATTATAAAATTATTTTTTATATAAATAATATAAATATAATATAAATATTAATCTTAGTCTTATATAAATGCTCATGTGACAAAAAAATAGATTTTATTTGATTTTTTAATTAAAATTTATGTCATGTGATATACTTTATTTAATTTTTAATGAATAAAATAAATGAATTTGGAATACGAAAAAATTCATGATTTAAAATGTAAGTTTTAAAAGTCATGGATTAAATCAAACATCGTAAAAAATATAGATGATTAATGAAATCATCAACTCCTTTCAATGTCATTAAAATTGACAAAATTTGTTATTTTAACATCAATTGAACGCCCATAAAAATGCTCACGTGATCAAAAAAATAGGTCCTATTTTATTTTTTAATTAAATTTTTCATGTGATATTTTTTATTAAATTTTTAATGAATAAAATAAATAAATTTAGAAGGTTTTAAAAAATTCGTGTTTTAAAAGTAATGGATTAAATGAAATATTGTAAAAATCATACATGATTAATGAATTGGATAGATTAGGTTTGTTTCCTTCACATTTTTGTCTTTTTTATCATATCTTTATATTATAAAATGACTAAATGCTTAATTTAGAATTAAATCTTTGATTTGTTACTCGCATCAATACCAAATCTATTATTTACTTCAAATAAGTATTTTAATATTTTAAGGATTTTTTAACAAAAATGAATTGGTGAACAACACACGCCGTAATCATTAACAATCCTAATGGAACTTGCCACCACCAATTCGAAGATGTAATCCTACATGGAACACACTTTAATTATCTTTTAATAAAAAAAGATTTAAAGAAAAGGATAAACTTCATAGCTCAAACAAGCTATGTTAAAGGTTATGGAAGTCGAAACAGGCAGCAACAGATAAGGGAAAATAAGGAGAGATTTGAAGAGAAAAGAAAAGTGAAAGAGGAAGGCAAGTGGCTTATATCCTGCAATCTTCATGTGTTATACTGTTATGTCTTAGTGACTATTATCTTCACTTTATTGTTTTGATGGAATTTGTCAATTGGGTACCATGGAAGGCCTCAAGATGAAGTTGAAATTAAAAATAGGATTGTCCATCTCATTTCCTGTTAGTATTGTGTTTAGGGTTTGTCCATCATGTTCCTATTGTGTTTGTCTATTTAAAGACTCTAATTCTTTTATGTCTTTGTCTGTTGATCTGATAAACTAAAAGATCTAAATTACATGGAAAGATAGAATGCATATCTATCTTTAATTTACTTTAATTAAGATAATTTTTTACATGATTTCAATGCCATCCTTGATTGATTTATTAATGCAATTTTCCTTAAAAATCAGTTCTATACGATTGTTATTTGAATGCACCAAATTCTTGAATTACACTGTGTTGACTTATTACAATCAAATATTCCATTTTTAGCTTTTATTTTCATTCTAAATTTATAAATCCACCTTATTACATTAGGGTAAAATGTACTGATAAAATTCAAACACACAAACTTTCTTTGGTGAACTCGCTTTGCTTAATATTGAGGAGATAACCTTCATTTTTCCCTACCACCAAAGCCTTTTGTAGATGTCATATGGAAGATTGAGACAAATTTAAAGAAGAGTCATTGTGTGGGAAAAAAAAAAGGAAACAGTGGGAATCGTCACTATTGAGATAAGGATCCTACTATTTAAAAAGTTTTTCGTTTAAAATTTTTGAGTGGATGAAGTTTATAATTATTCTTTATTACGTAACAAAAAAAATTCATATATAAATAATAAAATTAAAAGGGTTAATAATGGCCAGGCTTTAGTTTTGATATGTCAAAATCGCAATAATATGAGGTTAAATTATGAAACCAAAGAAATATAAAGCAATTTTGAAAGCACAAGAAATGATTAGCTCTCATCATGAAGGCATCAAAACTGAAGACAAAAGAAGGGCAAAAGGAGCTAAATATCTGAATGATGAAGAAAATAAATAAAATAGTTTCATTAATAATCTAATTACCAGGTGATTAGTAATTAAGAAAGAAACCAAAGCTCCTCAATACATACATTACACTGCTACTAAGTCTAAAAGTACCAACATCCATTAGCCCTACTGCCCCTACACTCACTACATCCTCTTGGATCAACCTGCACTTCTCACCAACAACCAACATGTTTATATAACGCATACAGTGCATTAATCATGGAACCACCTTGCAGAAAATGGTTCATCATCAGTAGCTGTTCAGTTCCGTGGTTTCTTATCTCTTCTTCTTCTTCTCCTTCTTCTCACAATTAGCTATGCCTCTGGCCTTGGCTTGAGGAGCGTCCCTCACTTCCCTTAGGTACAGCCTTACGGCACCCACACCAAACGTGTTCCAGTCATGTCGCTTCAGAGATTCATAACTGCTTAAAGCTGGGAGCGATTGTTGTGGCGAATATGGTATTGTTCGACGGTTCTCATCTCTTTGATGAGAAGTAGTGCTATTGGCGGCGGCGGCCGCAGCGGCAGCAGCGGCTGACATAGTAATCACTTTGCGTTAGGTGGGCTCAAAGTCAAAACCCTATGGCGTTGTCTATATATTGGATAATTTATGCAAAGAGAGAAGGGAGAATAGGTGGAGGAATGAAGTGAGAATGAGAACAATACTACATACAAGGAAAGAAGGTTTGGGTTAGTACGAAGAATAATGGAGGAAGCAAGTGAGAGAGACAAGAGGGGGCCCTTGCAAAACAAAACCACTCACACTTTGAATATCTATCTCAAATCTCAATCATCGCTTTCTTTTTCTGCTATTTACTACTACTAGTAGAGTAGTGGGAGTAATATTCTTCTTTTTCCAACCTTAATATTCGATACCACTCAACACACGTATCTAAATTTATCATAATAAAATAGACCATTAACTCAACTTTTATAAGGGTGTTATAATGTATAATTTTATAACCTTGATTGCTAAATATAAATTTAAAAGTTATTATTATTATTTTTTATTTAACTGTGATTATTTACTCGAGTAAATTTATACTCTTTAAAAAAATTTTAAGCTTGATATAAGTTCTTTTTAAATAATAAATTTTAATTTATAAAATAAAAATTATATTCAAATATACGCTTACATACGAAAAATATTTAACATTTTATAAAATTCAACTTAAAATATGGTATCAATTAATTTTATATTATCGAAATCTTAAAAACATAATAAAAACATTTTTAAAATTTTAATATTAAAAATTATTCTTAAATTAAAATAACTAAATAAGTTTTTAAAAAGTACTTAAAATAAAAAAATAAAAATTACCAAAAATAAAAAAAATCAATAACTTCAAAACGATTCAAAAACGGATCAAGACTCAGCCATTTTGATTACTGAAATAGGTCACGATCGAGTCGGGTCTCATTGGGGCAAGGTCATTCAAAATGACGCCATTGTCCATTTTTTTAATTAGCAAATATTTTATTACTCTATCATTTTTCCTTCTTCCTTTATCTCTCTAAAATCCCATTTTCTCTCTAAATCCTTTTCTTCTTCAAACAGCCAACCACCCCAATCTAGAATCCGGCACTAATAGCCCATTGGACTGCCACACTTCACTAGTCGATGGTGCTGTTCTTTGACCGGAAGCCACCAAAATCCTCATTGTCACCTCTTTTTTCCTTTTTTTTTCAAACTAATTTTCTCAAATAATGAACCAAAGGAACTGGATCTACACCAAAGCTTGCTAATTCAAACTACCAAATACCAACCTTATGTTGCTTCGACCACCACCGATTTCCAATATGTGGTGCCCCTTCCTTCTCTCCCTTTTCACTATTTTAATTACCCACAGCCTACCACCATTATGTGTCATTACCATCGGTAGTGATTCGAGACCACTAGAATGACATAAGCAATTAGAGAATGAGTAGATTAACCTGGTGCAAAGAGTCTGCCCAGTCTTTGAATGAGAAAAAAAAAAGACGAAGAAATTGAGAGAAAGTGAAAGTGTAGAGAGAATAGAAAGAAATATCGTATTTTGTTCAATGTAATTTCCAAAATGCTTACAATCGTTGCATATCCCTCTACA